GGGAATGCTATCTTCCACCTTGGGTCTTGAATACGTTAATTTCGTATATTTGCACAGTGCTGCATGGTGCCTACCTCTTCTACACCTGTTGCAGGTGTTGAATTGGGTATCACAATAGTCTATGTTGTGTGACTTGAGACACCTTGCACATCTCCCTAATTCCTGGAGTCGCTCCATACGAGTGTCTCTGGTTGGATAATTAGCACAACAGTATGTTGAATGTTTCTTTTTGCAGAACATACAAGTCCCCCAGCCTACTGCACGTTTGGAAGTTACCGGTTTGGGTGAACTAGTAACAGTAGGCTTGGAGGTTGCTGCTGCAGTGTCAGATTTTCTGCAACTTGATGTTTGAGTAATTGGTTGATGTTTATTTGGGGTGGTTGTTTTACCCTTTAATTGACTATTATTTTCTATTTCTGAAGGCTTGCAAGAGGCTTTAACTTCCTCATTTGCTCGTCGTTTGTTTATGATGGAATGTAAACCTTCAGTGATGTCCTGTACTGTCAGGATGGTGTTATGTTGATGTGCATATAATTCATCTAGTATATCGCTGGACAATTTTCGTTGAAGGACTACTTTGGTCATCCATTCACTAGTAGTTATATCAACCTTAAGTCTGAATGTTCTTAGTAGTGACTCAAACTCCATGCTGAAGGATTGTAATGAGTCAGCAGTCTGATCAGGTTGAGGTAAATCCAGCAACTGTAGTACTAGATGTATGACAGTTTTCTCATTGCCAGCATTATTCCTAGGAGGCTGGACTGGGAAATTAGTGCTGTCGCTATTTTCATTTACATTTTCTACTACTGGTTCAGCTTCACCTCTAGTTTGGAGGCATGTTAACTTAGTAGCTTCAGGTATTGGGTTTTCAGAATCCACAGAGACTGTGGATAAATTGTCTGAAAACTGCTTAATTTCTGGTGGTATATTATTGGGTGAAGCTGTAGTGGGTGAAGCTTTACTGGGTGAAGCTTTATCCTTGTTGATTAAAGGATCTAATCTGGCTTTACATTTATTCTCAAAAAGATCCAGATCATCCATAACATTATCTACTTTATTTGATGTACTTGCTATTTGTTCTGATTCAATTATCCTGTGTAAATGTTCCAACCTGGCTTGAGTTTCTTCTTCATATTGTGCTAGGTCAGACAGGAATGGTTCCACATCTTCAACTACTATGTCGTCGTCGTCGACCTGATTTTGGTAAGATTTCCTATTTGCTTTCAATATATGCAATTGGGTTTGAATCTGCAACAGTGGTATTTTCAACCGACGATAATTAATTACAGGCTCATATAACAACTGTTCATATTGGTTGAGATCTCTTGTTAGTTGGCGTTTGCTTGATATTAAAGCACGCTTTGCTTTCTGTGGATTAGTCATGGTGACTTGTTAATTGGGCACCACTGGCTCATAAATTGTGAGCAAGTACTAATGGTAGCCTAGGGTAAATTCTGCACTCACTAGGCAATAATCCTACCTCTACTAGAGGTTAGCACTTAAAATTAATACACATTATATATATACAATCATACACACTAATGATTTGAGTGATAAACCAGTGTCACTGGAAGTACCTTTAGGTTAGCTCTTCTATATCACCCTAGGATGGTAGAGACACTAATTAATCACTCAAAGGTGTAATGATCATAAGTAAATTATTATATATACAACTCAATTCGAGTTGATAAAATTACACCCAAAATAGGGTCTGGACCATTCATTAATGGTGTTAGGTTGTTCAATATAGTACAACTGACTATTGTAATAATGGGACTAGGATGAACAATAATAGTTCAACTAGTCATATCCTACCCTGTTGTGGGTTGGCAATTAGTAAATATTATACTGTGAACACTAGTGCAGTATATATTAAATAATTCTCTATTTGGAGAAATAATATACACAATTATTGATAATAGCCTCTTAATTAGCCTCTATGAAACTTCTAATATTATCTAGAAGTATTAAATGTTATTAGTGACCTCGCGAAATAAAGTCCACAAAATTCGTAGATAATCTCTCGCGAAATGTAACACCACGAAATCCGTGAACAATCTCGCGAAGACACAGTCACTAATTTGGCTGGTTTCAATATTAGCGCTGTCATTTCACGAAATAACACGCCACCAAATATCTGTGGGTGTGCATGAAACCGCTGACGAAGCTGAACTCAGTTGAGGGAGGCTCCTGAGCTCCCACGAGGCTTCGCCGCTGTCTTTGACTGGCTTTGTTTAAATAACACTGCACTAGTATATTTAATGAATCCACTGGTTTGGTTAACTGGTTCATCCGGTACTAAGATGACCAAATGTGGGTTCAAAGGATCAAATAATCCGTCATCCGGTTCGAAGGACCAAATAATGTGGGAACCGACCTGTGAGATTTATATTTATTTAATTTATATGAATTTATATTTACGTTAATTTATATACTTCGATAGCAATTTGTATAATGATAAGTGGACTGTATTTCTGCAATAATCTCATAATCTCACAAATCGATCCTCTACACATTAGGGGGGGTTTATATTACACATATGCAGCCAATCAAATTACAGTAATAGCTACATACATTGATGAGGTTCCTTCTCTTATAGTACAGCAGGTTAGTCCACCAGGTATAACTAGAGTGTAGACACCAAATTGTCCTCTTTGAGGTAGCTTCTATCACCCAGTAACTGGTGCACATAATCTTGCATCCTCGTCTTGACCTGTCAAAAGTGCGCTAGCTGTGAAGCCAGAATCCTATATATGACAAGCTATATCAGAGAAAACACTATACAGTACATGGAACATTAAAGACCTGGCTTAATTACCTTTAGTATGAGGCGATTTCGCGTTCTAACCGGCTAACCCTATATCCTGACATTAATGGCCATAAATGAATGATAAACGGGTTTCGGATAGAACACTTAACTTGATTTGTAGACAGCGTGTTGACAATGTTACACCTTTGGGTTCCATAACACTACGTCCAAGTAAATTTAACAGGAGCCGAATTTGCTCCCGTGTGAGCCTCTGGTCTCAATAAACAACAATGGCTGCCCTCCTCCTCCACTCTGACGCCTGGCCTACTTTGTCCAGATTTCAGAAAGTGATAGAAGGGTCACATTTACTCTACTTTAATATTGATAATTAAGTTAATTTATATAAGATGTTTTTATGATGGTAAAGTCCAAAGACTAATGTATTTAAGAATAATTCCCACCATAATAGGTGGTGAATTATAATAGTGTGTGGTGATGATATCCCGTTTTCTATAGACGGTAATTCCACTACAAGTTACGTTTTCTATGGTTAACTTGTTGGTAATACAGCAGCTATTATCTGTATGATTATTAAATGGTGTCGGATTTTCCGACAGGGCGAGCATCTATAGAAGGGAATCCTCCTGACCCAGACGGTCTTGTGACGAGGTCAGTGAAGGCCAGGCGGCTCCTCGCTCCCACAAGGCTGCCGGCCGGGTCCTCGCTACTTTCATTGGCGTTGAGTGAGCCCTCGCCCCTAGCACCCGTCCTCCTTGGGAGGGAGTGGGGGGGGGGCACATTGCTGGGAAGAGACCTCTTCGCCTCTGTTTACCCAGCAGTAACTGGATACCTGCTTGTTAAACGATTGGCGGGTCGTATTTCAGGGAAAACTAGTAGGGTAAGGCTTACCATGAATTATGGGAAGGGAAAGCTCTCAGCCTGTTAACAGGAGTCAGCAATCTTCTGTTCCTGTACCTTCCTGTGTAAATAAGGAGATGAAGTTACTGTCCCGAAGACGGTAACACGCGGCCATAAATAAGGGAGAAACAGTAAGTTGTTTCAAAGTAAAGGAGTGATCTCCCACAGTGCAGGGAAGTTCCTTGCTGGGCTCTCTTGGTAAATATTACGACTCTCATACATTCTGAATTCAGTTGAGTTTCTAGCAGTCTATTTTGAAGGCTGATGTGGTTGGTTGGTCTTATAGTATCTAGGTACAAATTCGAGCATTAAACGCAGTGAGATGAGTCCTGTGGCGCAGTAGGCTACGTAGTAATGTCACACCCGAAAGGTCTCGGATTCAATTACCGATCCGGACAAAAGTGTTTGGCCACGTTCCCTTTCACCCAATGCCCCTGTTCGCCTGGCAGTAAAGTGGTACCCCAGAGTTAAACAGCTGTTGTGGGATGCATCCCGGGAAAGGTCAGTCGTTGGTCTAGGCCCAAAGGGGACGTCGATAAGCCTAACACCTTCTGTTTCTAACTAAAGAGAACCAAAAGGTTATAGAAAATGGGGGTGATATGTTGCTGAAAATAGTGACAATCTTTGCAATCTCTTATATCCCTTCTTTTATCCTTCTACCCCTTATACCTATTCCTACCCCTCCTCCTCCCCTCCCAGCACCCCAACACACCCTTTCCCCTCTCCTCGTCCCTTCACTTCTAACCCGCCCCGCCCCCCCCCCCCCCCCCCCACCCATCCTACCAACCTCCCAACGCACCAATTAATGTGTGGCCACGTCTGTGGTAGAAAAAAAAACGCACCAATTCCATAAATGCTTTACGACCATCCTACTCCCTTCTCACCCTGCCAACACCCTACGTTGTCACCCTACCTCCTCCCAGCCCCCCCTCCCCCTCCCCTGCTGCCATGCATGATCGAGGCGCCTGTATATCATAGCATTGTTATCTCCCAGGAAGCAGATGGCTGCCATGATGTATAATCAGAGAAGGCAACGGTCGTAAGTGGAGTGCCCAACGGCTTCCTCCTGCCTCCACAATTATTCACTATACACTGTTCTTGAATGTGAACATGCAACCTTCATTAACAACGGTGACGATAGTCACAGGCCCTGAGAACATGATCGCTGTGATCAATTCAGCATGAGATCGCTGGATTGTTTCAAGCGAAGGTTAGACGTATATATGTGTTTGGGTGGATATAAATAGGAGCTGCCTCGTATTGGCCAGTAGGTGTTCTTCTGTTACTATATAATTATGTTCGCCTTTGTTGAGGTAAGATGAATAAGATCACTGTCTCTTCTAGCAGGCGCCGCAAGGGTCCAAGTCTCCGTGAAGATGCTGCGACAACTAGCTGTCATCTCTGTCGCTTCCCTCGGTGAGTATATGTGTGTCACCCTCGGTGTGTACATGGGTCACCCTCGGTGAGTATATGTGTCACCCTCGGTGAGCACATGGGTCACCCTCGGTGTGTACATGGGTCACCCTCGGTGTGTACATAGGTCACCCTCGGTGAGCACATGGGTCACCCTCGGTGGGTACATGGGTCACCCTCGGTGTGTACATGGGTCACCCTCGGTGAGTATATGTGTCACCCTCGGTGGGTACATGAGTCACCCTCGGTGAGTATATGTGTCACCCTCGGTGTGCACATGGGTCACCCTCGGTGAGCACATGGGTCACCCTCGGTGTGTACATGGGTCACCCTCGGTGGGTACATGGGTCACCCTCGGTGAGCACATGGGTCACCCTCGGTGTGTACATGGGTCACCCTCGGTGGGTACATGGGTCACTATAAAATCCACTCTCTCACAGTTACTGTCTAGATGACTGTCGGACCCGCTGTTTGTTGGTGTTCATCTGTTTATAGGTCTGACCGGCTGTCAATGTCCGTCTGCACATCTGTGCATTTAGGTGTTTGCCTGTCTTCCTTAATTCTGTGCATGCCTATTTTTTCTGAGAGGGAGAGAGAGAGAGTGTGTGTGTGTGTGTGAGAGAGAGTGTATAGCCTGCACTGACAAACTTTGGGTGCATTATGAAGATATCCTCAAGTACACGTCAGTCAATAAAGTAATTACAAAGATCCAGGTACTTCATGCCGGCAGGTCTGAAAGGTCTAATAACTGGGTATTCAGTGATGTAGTGTGGGAGATCATGCCGCAGCTCCTGCTCACAGAGTTTGCACCTGGAGTGCTCAGTACCGGGAGATCCGTCACTTGTAGCCACCTGCCACAGGTAACGGTAACCCAACCTGATCCTGACAACCACTGTGTTGGCAACGTGATCCTGGCAACCATATACAAGAAAGTACATCATTTTGTGAGGGTACATACCCTGGTGACTGAATGTTACATTCTTGTAAAGCCACTAACACACATAGCTTCTCGGCCAGGTCCTTAAACTAACAATAAATGTAATTAATAGGAACATTGTAACAGAATTTGAATTTAGCAGAATGTTTGTGTCATTAGCATAGGTCATATTCGTGTAAGATGGACTCCCTTAATAGTGTGTGTGTACAAGTGCAGCATGTGTATAGTAGTCCACCACCACCACGCCCTCAGGAGAGTCCAGTCCATGTGTTCAGGTCCGCCCAGTCTGCCCTTCCCAAGTAACTTTTCAATCCCTCATAATTTGCATTACGGAAACCTGTTATTCTTATAGTTTTTCCCTGACACAACTTTTCCAGGTTTTCCATGATAAGTTAAATATAATTTCTTTGTGATCAGTGTTCCCTATCATGCTCCCTATTTATATGTCTCCCTATTGGTCAGAACCAAGTCAAATATATTGTTTTCCCGTGTCGGCTCCATAATATATAGGCTAAGAAAGCAGTCATCCACCATTTTTTGTTTTCATTTTCTGCTCTGCATTGCCCATTTTATTGATCCAGTTTATTTTACTAAAATTAAAGTCACCTATTATACATACATTGCCAGAAGTATTTGCCTTAGATATCTCTACCCATATATGTCTTCCTTCCATTTTGTCGAAGTTTATTAGCCAATTTATCTCTGTTATCAAGCCATCATTATTCTCAATTATGTTCAAAAATTTTCTGTGTGTGTGGCTAAGTTTCGATTTCCTCTTGGTTACAACGTTCAAAAGTGTTGTGAGATATACATTGTTACTCGCTTTCCTCGTCTAACCTGTCTATCAGTGGGAAATAATTTGTTATCCTTTATTTTATATTCAGACAATAGTTCCCCGTTGTCCACACATCCATGTTTCAATTAGTGTGATAATATTTATAGTTTCTGGCCAGACAAATACACTCGAGTCATTTATTGTGTTTCTGATGCTGCCACCGTAGTGAAGTACACCCCGAGTGTCATGTGTGATGCTGCCACCGTAGTGAAGTACACCCCGAGTGTCATGTGTGATGCTGCCACCGTAGTGAAGTACACCCCGAGTGTCATGTGTGATGCTGCCACCGTAGTGAAGTACACCCCGAGTGTCATGTGTGATGCTGCCACCGTAGTGAAGTACACCCCGAGTGTCATGTGTGATGCTGCCACCGTAGTGAAGTACACCCCGAGTGTCATGTGTGATGCTGCCACCGTAGTGAAGTACACCGCGAGTGTCATGTGTTTATCTCCCTCTCCAACCCTTTGATTTTTTCTCAAAACTTTTTACATTTACTTCACAACTCTCGTTTCCATTTTCCTGTGGGCTTTTCTTAGTAGAACAAATCACTTGTTTGTCGCCACCAGAAGAATATTGTTTGTTATTGCTTCTGTAACCTATGATATTGTAGTGGTAGCCTCGCTTCATGCAGGTCGGCGTTCAATCCCCGATCGTCCAATTGGTTGGGACGCCATTCCTGCCTCCCCGTCCCATCCCAAATCCTTATCCTGATCCCTTCCAAGTGCTATATAGTCTAATGGCTTGGCGCTTTCTCCTGATAGTTCCCCTCCCCTCCTTCCTGAGTTGTTCCTCGTCTCCTGTAGTGTACACCCATATGTCACTATACCTGAATTTATAGTGACTTGTCGAAGGTGCCCCCCCCCCTCATTTGAGTTGTAGGCTTGATACACTAACTGGTGAGTCCTGCACACCGTTTCCTCCAAAGACTCTGCAAAAGCTGCCACCCCATCCACAGACAGCTCAACCCTTCCCTTGACATGCATGGTGCAAAACTCCTTAGGCCTATGTGTGTGTGCATGTGATTTAATTGTTGTTCTGAATGTCTCAGAAGTCTATTTAACTATTTGAGATGTTTCTTTCACAGGTATATTTATATACTTACAAGAAAAAGACGGAACTTAACTGCACGAAAAGGACAGAACTTGGACTGGAATGGACGGAACAGAAAGACCTAAAGTTGATCTTCAGCTGATTGTACAGAAACCATCTGACGTCACAACCTACTGACGTCACAACCATCTGACGTCACAACCATCTGACGTCACAACCATCTGACGTCACAACCTACTGACGTCACAACCTACTGACGTCACAACCATCTGACGTCATAACCATCTGACGTCACAACCATCTGACGTCACAACCTACTGACGTCACAACCTACTGACGTCAAACACAAATAACATTTGGAGTTGATAACACTGCAAAGATATATATATATATATATATATATATATATATATATATATATATATATATATATATATATATATATATATATATATATATATATATATATATATATATATATATATATATATATATATATATATATATATATATATATATATATATATATATATATATATATATATATATATATATATATATATATATATATATATATATATATATATATTCTTTTTGTTGAAGACGCTTAAGACTAGAATACTGTAATGACTAATGACTATTATTAATTTTGCTGTATATTAATCTGTATATTATTTGGCTTATAACCAAAAGTGTGACGAATATTGGCCAAAGCGAAAGCAGTATGGCCATGTGGGGTTCATATCTCTGTTATTAATCCAGTTGTGTTTCTCTCCCGCGGTGTGTCCGGGTGTGTGTGTGCGCGCGCAGCCCTCACCCTGGTGTGCTCCCTGCCCGCCCTACACCGGGTAAGTCCTCTCAACACTCCTCACCCTCTTGTAATAATTCATTGTAATAATTAACTGTGTCGGGGGACAGGCTGCCAGTATATTATATATAATTATATATATTATAGTAGTAGGCATCCTGTAGTCACGACTCACGGGAGATTATATGGAGTTGCGCTCTGGTTGTCGAGGCTGGAGTGTCCTCTCCAGGGCGCAAAGTCTGGGTAGGTTGATATGGAGGTGAAGCTGTTACCCATGCAGCAGGTACTCCCACCCCCCCCCCCCCCCCCCTCGCCACGATGCTGAAATTGTCCAATGGAAAGGCAAACGCCAAAACGCTTGGTTCCAGCTCCATCGCAGGAGCTGCCAGAACGAGGTTGAAGTCACAAACGAACTGATTTAGGGGGCAGTTATAAGCCTAATATATATATAATATATATATATTAAGCTTATATCGAGGTCCTTCTCCCTCACCAAGGTGGAACCTCCTTGGGTTGCATCCTCCCCCAGGATGCAACCCACAACAAGCTGATTAACTTCTGTGTACCTATTTACTATTAGTTGAACAAGAGCATTAAATGATAGTAACGTGCCCAACCATTTCGGTTCTGCCCGTCTATATCTGTTTGTAAATTTAATATATTCTGTATATCGATGTTCTATTGTCAGAACAAAAGAACATTTATATTAATGATCATACTTACATTATTGCCCAATTTCAAAATATACAACTGGAAAAGATCATCAAGGCAAATGGGGGGGGACCTTCGACAAGCCGCCGGCTTCCTGTCTTTCATGATCAAGACATGTGCCTTGATGAATTTTTCTAGTTGTACTTTAAAAGTTAACAGGTTTTTGGCAGTTACGGCTTCGGCGGGTAGGCGGTTCTATGGGTTAATAACCCCGTGGGTGAAAAGCACTTCCAGTTCTCAGTGCTACACTGTGGCGTGTTGAGCTTGGAACCGTTGCTCCTTGTTTGTGTTACATCTGACCTTCTGAAGAAATTTTCCGGATCAACATCCTCCAAATTGTTCAGTATTTTAAAAGTTTCAATGAGATCCGCCTTGTATTGTGTGTTATCATTCATTCACTCGCATGATAAGAATTATTAATAAAACATTAATTGCGATAAGATGTTTAAAATATACAAGGTATTAAGCTGCCTTTTGTTAAACCTGCGCGTATCTACACACTAGTGCTGTAACCTTCACTAGTCCCCTCCGCTCAGCGTCCACAACCTACAAAATACAAAGTGGTAAAGTAACCAGAAACGTACGAACCCAAGCCACCCACCTAACCTGACCTACGATGCATAGAAAACGTGGATATTTGTGAACCGCTACTCTTCACAGTAGTTTGAAATTTGTACGTTGGAAAGAATAACGGACAAAACGAGACGTACTAATTGGGAGGACAGGTTTGAAGCGTCGCCATACGGTCCTGCCCGAGGCTGACAGAACAAGTTTTGAGATATATAAATATATACCTATGGTGCTTATTATTAATGTATTGTTTTGCGTGCATCGTGCTCATGAGGCCATAACCGGTGTACATTAGATGTGTTACTCACCTCTTCCTTTACCAGTCTCTCTTCTCCGTAATCTAAATCTATCTCTCTTCTACATAATTTAAGCGCACATCATCTTTCTCCTCACATAAGCAAAGGTTGCTATCTATGTAAACAATGCACTTTGTCCACCCAAAGTTAAAGCCCCCATCTTTCTCCCTGTAACCAAAGACATCTCTACACCAGCAAAAGTCTCACTCATATAACCGAAGAGCTCTCCAAACATGATCAAAACTAACTTGCATACCCACATCCCTCTTCACAATCACATTTCTTTACATCACCCATACGCCTGTTTGCACATAATAAAGGTTCTTTTCCCATATAAATGTTCTCTCCTCACATGTCCAAAGCCCTTATTTCCCCATAACCAAAGCCCTCATTTCCCCATAACCCAAGCACTCATTTTCCCCCATTAACCGATGACTGTCCCGTTTTACCTTCCCCGCCACCCGACTAAACCTGAGCCCCATCTCCCGCTATCAACCATCGTCATAATCAACCATCTCTTCACAGACGAAACGATGGGAAGAGTTCCCCAACGTGACCTTCACTTTCGACTGCACGGATCGACCTGTTGGCTTCTATGCCGACCAGGAATTCAACTGCCAGCTCTTCCATATGTGTGACGAGGATGGTCGACGCATCCCTTACATGTGCGCCAACGATACGGCCTTCAACCAGGAGTACCGCATCTGCGACTGGCAATACAACTTCGACTGCTCCCTGGCTCACAACTGGTCAGTGAAGGGGCTGGGTGCTCACAGTATTTTGTTGCGTGGTGTCGAGTACAGTCGTGGAGACCTCAAGTACAGTAGTGGGGCTGGTGAGTGGTGGGTGTAACTAGTAGTGGGGCTGGTGAGTGGTGGGTGTAACTAGTAGTGGGGCTGGTGAGTGGTGGGTGTAACTAGTAGTGGGATTGGAGAGTGGAGGGTGTAACTAGTAGTGGGGCTGGTGAGTGGTGGGTGTAACTGGTAGTGGGGCTGGAGAGTGGTGGGTGTAACTAGTAGTGGGGCTGGTGAGTGGTGGGTGTAACTAGTAGTAGGGCTGGTGAGTGGTAGGTGTAACTAGTAGTGGGACTGGAGAGTGGTGGGTGTAACTAGTAGTGGGGCTGGTGAGTGGTGGGTGTAACTAGTAGTGGGGCTGGAGAGTGGTGGGTGTAACTAGTACTGGGGCTGAAGAGTGGTGGGTGTAACTAGTAGTGGGGCTGGTGAGTGGTGGGTGTAACTAGTAGTGGGGCTGGTGAGTGGTGGGTGTAACTGGTAGTGGGGCTGGTGAGTGGTGGGTGTAACTGGTAGTGGGGCTGGAGAGTGGTGGGTGTAACTAGTATTAGGGCTGGTGAGTGGTGGATGTAACTAGTAGTGGGGCTGGTGAGTGGTGGATGTAACTAGTAGTGGGGCTGGAGAGTGGTGGGTGTAACTAGTATTAGGGCTGGTGAGTGGTGGATGTAACTAGTAGTGGGGCTGGTGAGTGGTGGGTGTAACTAGTAGTGGGGCTGGAGAGTGGAGGGTGTAACTAGTAGTGGGGCTGGTGAGTGGTGGGTGTAACTGGTAGTGGGGCTGGAGAGTGGTGGGTGTAACTAGTAATGGGGCTGGAGAGTGGTGGGTGTAACTAGTAGTAGGGCTGGAGAGTGGTGGGTGTAACTAGTAGTGGGGCTGGTGAGTGGTGGGTGTAACTAGTAGTGGGGCTGGAGAGTGGTGGGTGTAACTTGTAGTGGGGCTGGAGAGTGGTGGGTGTAACTGGTAGTGGGGCTGGTGAGTGGTGGGTGTAACTGGTAGTGGGGCTGGTGAGTGGTGGGTGTAACTAGTAGTGGGGCTGGTGAGTGGTGGGTGTAACTAGTAGTGGGGCTGGTGAGTGGTGGATGTAACTAGTAGTGGGGCTGGTGAGTGGTGGGTGTAACTAGTAGTGGGGCTGGTGAGTGGTGGGTGTAACTAGTAGTGGGGCTGGTGAGTGGTGGGTGTAACTAGTAGTGGGATTGGAGAGTGGAGGGTGTAACTAGTAGTGGGGCTGGTGAGTGGTGGGTGTAACTGGTAGTGGGGCTGGAGAGTTGTGGGTGTAACTAGTAGTGGGGCTGGTGAGTGGTGGGTGTAACTAGTAGTGGGGCTGGTGAGTGGTGGGTGTAACTAGTAGTGGGGCTGGAGAGTGGTGGGTGTAACTAGTAGTGGGGCTGGTGAGTGGTGGGTGTAACTAGTAGTGGGGCTGGAGAGTGGTGGGTGTAACTAGTAATGGGGCTGGAGAGTGGTGGGTGTAACTAGTAGTGGGGCTGGAGAGTGGTGGGTGTAACTAGTAGTGGGGCTGGTGAGTGGTGGGTGTAACTAGTAGTGGGGCTGGTGAGTGGTGGGTGTAACTAGTAGTGGGGCTGGAGAGTGGAGGGTGTAACTAGTAGTGGGGCTGGTGAGTGGTGGGTGTAACTGGTAGTGGGGCTGGAGAGTGGTGGGTGTAACTAGTAATGGGGCTGGAGAGTGGTGGGTGTAACTAGTAGTAGGGCTGGAGAGTGGTGGGTGTAACTAGTAGTGGGGCTGGTGAGTGGTGGGTGTAACTAGTAGTGGGGCTGGTGAGTGGTGGGTGTAACTAGTAGTGGGGCTGGAGAGTGGTGGGTGTAACAAGTAATGGGGCTGGAGAGTGGTGGGTGTAACTAGTAGTAGGGCTGGAGAGTGGTTGGTGTAACTAGTAGTGGGGCTGGTGAGTGGTGGGTGTAACTAGTAGTGGGGCTGGTGAGTGGTGGGTGTAACTAGTAGTGGGGCTGGTGAGTGGTGGGTGTAACTAGTAGTGGGGCTGGTGAGTGGTGGGTGTAACTAGTAGTGGGGCTGGTGAGTGGTGGGTGTAACTAGTAGTGGGGCTGGAGAGTGGTGGGTGTAACTAGTAGTGGGGCTGGTGAGTGGTGGGTGTAACTAGTAGTGGGGCTGGAGAATGGTGGGTGTAACTGGTAGTGGGGCTGGAGAGTGGTGGGTGTAACTAGTAGTGGGGCTGGTGAGTGGTGGGTGTAACTAGTAGTGGGGCTGGTGAGTGGTGGGTGTAACTAGTAGTGGGGCTGGTGAGTGGTGGGTGTAACTAGTAATGGGGCTGGAGAGTGGTGGGTGTAACTAGTAGTAGGGCTGGAGAGTGGTTGGTGTAACTAGTAGTGGGGCTGGAGAGTGGTGGGTGTAACTAGTAGTGGGGCTGGTGAGTTGTGGGTGTAACTAGTAGTGGGGCTGGAGAGTGGTGGGTGTAACTAGTAGTGGGGCTGGTGAGTTGTGGGTGTAACTAGTAGTGGGGCTGGAGAGTGGTGGGTGTAACTAGTAGTGGGGCTGGTGAGTTGTGGGTGTAACTAGTAGTGGGGCTTTAGAGTGGTGGGTGTAACTAGTAGTGGGGCTGGTGAGTTGTCGGTGTAACTAGTAGTGGGGCTGGAGAGTGGTGGGTGTAACTAGTAATGGGGCTGGAGAGTGGTGGGTGTAACTAGTAGTAGGGCTGGAGAGTGGTTGGTGTAACTAGTAGTGGGGCTGGAGAGTGGTGGGTGTAACTAGTAGTAGGGCTGGAGAGTGGTTGGTGTAACTAGTAGTGGGGCTGGAGAGTGGTGGGTGTAACTAGTAATGGGGCTGGAGAGTGGTGGGTGTAACTAGTAGTGGGGCTGGAGAGTGGTTGGTGTAACTAGTAGTGGGGCTGGAGAGTGGTGGGTGTAACTAGTAGTAGGGCTGGAGAGTGGTTGGTGTAACTAGTAGTGGGGCTGGTGAGTGGTTGGTGTAACTAGTAGTGGGGCTGGTGAGTGGTGGGTGTAACTAGTAGTGGGGCTGGTGAGTGGTGGGTGTAACTAGTAGTGGGGCTGGTGAGTGGTGGGTGTAACTAGTAATGGGGCTGGTGAGTGGTGGGTGTAACTAGTAGTGGGGCTGGTGAGTGGTTGGTGTAACTAGTAGTGGGGCTGGTGAGTGGTGGGTGTAACTAGTAGTGGGGCTGGTGAGTGGTGGGTGTAACTAGTAGTGGGGCTGGTGAGTGGTGGGTGTAACTAGTAGTGGGGCTGGTGAGTGGTGGGTGTAACTAGTAGTGGGGCTGGTGAGTGGTGGGTGTAACTAGTAGTGGGGCTGGTGAGTGGTGGGTGTAACTAGTAGTGGGGCTGGTGAGTGGTGGGTGTAACTAGTAGTGGGGCTGGAGAGTGGTGGGTGTAACTAGTAGTGGGGCTGGTGAGTGGTGGGTGTAACTAGTAGTGGGGCTGGTGAGTGGTGGGTGTAACTAGTAGTGGGGCTGGTGAGTGGTGGGTGTAACTAGTAGTGGGGCTGGTGAGTGGTGGGTGTAACTAGTAGTGGGGCTGGTGAGTGGTGGGTGTAACTAGTAGTGGGGCTGGAGAGTGGTGGGTGTAACTAGTAGTGGGGCTGGTGAGTGGTGGGTGTAACTAGTAGTGGGGCTGGTGAGTGGTGGGTGTAACTAGTAGTGGGGCTGGAGAGTGGTGGGTGTAACTAGTAGTGGGGCTGGTGAGTGGTGGGTGTAACTAGTAGTGGGGCTGGTGAGTGGTGGGTGTAACTAGTAGTGGGGCTGGTGAGTGGTGGGTGTAACTAGTAGTGGGCTGTCACATAATAAATGTAGCATACAAATGCAAGAATTGTCATAAAAAGCACGTCATTCGGTTGCATATATCCACTAGGAAAATTAAACAAAAATTCCGAACGTTTTCAGAAACTTGTATTCCTTCTTAATGTGTTGAAATAGGAAAACGTTTAGAATTTTAGTTTTATTTCCATATTGGATATACGCGTAGCATACAAGTATATTCTGTGTCTATGGCGTTCTTTTCGTGCGTGGATATATTCTTTTACTATTTTCTACTGTATGTGAGCATTTAGTATATATTTATAAAGAATAATCTGAAAAGTTTATCTATGTACTGTACGATAAATTATACATTACAGTTTGTACATTATTCTTTTTTTCTGTGGGCGGAGTATATCTGCCACTAATGTGTTTCGACCACGAGATCTTTCCCACTGTGGAGGGGTCCGTCTAATTACCCAAAGATACCCAAACTTACTCAAAGCTACACAAAGCTTCCTAGCATTACGTTAGTGATGAATAAATATGATATATTTATTCATTATAATGCTGGTGCTGAATGTAGAACATGAAACACATATTTTTATTCTGAAAAAGTTTCATTTTTATAACGTACATCTGAGAGCTTGTGTACATCGTTGTCAGCACTTTGTGTTCCCCGCTGCCACCCCCCCCCCCCCCCCCACCCAATACAAAACAATACAATTGTTTTACTGTCTTACTAATGACAACTTTTCTTTCCAGGTACTACCTTAATGAACTCACCTACGTCACTGACCCTCCGAAGTTTTAGACTTACTGACCCTTGTGTGACCCTCGAAATGATCTCGCCTGTGATGACCCGATGACCTGATCTGTATAACCTGTGACCCAGGATGAAGGACCCGTGTGGACTCTCACAGATCTCCCAGCATCAGGAGGTCTCCACGAGTCTACAGACCTCTGTTTTAAGAGTCCTTGATGAGGAAACTCGGCTCCCCTTATCCCTTACCCTCCACCATCCCCCAAGCTTGGGTTGCCTTCACACAGCACCTAGGTGTCGTACTCAAGGTTATGACACCTCACGCATGTCCTCCTGGGTTCTCGAGTGCCTGCACGATACCTGTACATACAGTGGCTCTCCCGCGGCAACTGTGCCTGGAGCCGCCCACCCGTGGATCCCTGAAGCACTGTGGACAGCCGACAATGCAATAGCCCTTCACTGAAGCTATATATCAAGACTGATGGAAAGGCGACATCAAAGCAACAGTGGTGCATTGACTTTCCTGTAGATCTAACTAGAGCAAAGTAGTGAGTGGCGCCTCGCTGGCTGTGAGCGCCACATGAAGGCATCTACAGGAGCCAGAGTCCTCCACAGGGCAGCAGGAATCCTGGCGCTGTTAGAGCTGGTCTCTGCTCACCGCCACAAGCACATATGTACAGAGTCACCTAATACGTAGTCCTTAGGAACAACATCAGTGTCCATTGTATCTTATAATATATAATATATATATATTATACTAAATACCTGTTAACGTTCATGTGTCGATCAAAGGTAAATGTTAAACACACAGCCTGCTGACAGCATCACCCATCACTGCTGTCAGGGCAATGGTGCCATTGTCTCTGGTCAGGAAGCCAAAACTTGTGATCCACTCACTGTATATGGTCAACAAACTCCTAACGATCCTACTTTATTAGATATCATATTCGATCACAAAGATAATTCTACAATTTCTATTATACTGTATTATATTTCCAAACTTGCCCTTTCCACATATATGCCATATTTAAGTTTAATTTGATTCGGTGATACCCTTGGTTATGTCTGTGATGATTGTTGTGGTTGGATGAATACAGATTTATACGTCTTCTGAAATTGTTGTGTAATTTACAGTTGTGGCTCCTCACTACGAGTGCCTCTGACGCGGCCTCTCCGAGCGGCACACAGCTGTCAGCCATGGTAGTATACACACACAGCTGTCAGCCATGGTAGTATACACACAGCTGTCAGCCACGGTAGCACACAGCTGTCAGTCATGGTAGCACACACACAGCTGTCAGCCATGGTAGTATACACACACAGCTGTCAGCCATGGTAGTATACACACAGCTGTCAGCCACGGTAGCACACAGCTGTCAGTCATGGTAGCACACACACAGCTGTCAGCCATGGTAGCACACAGCTGTCAGCTATGGTAGCACACACAGCTGTCAGTCATGGTAGCACACACACAGCTGTAAGTCATGGTAGCACACACAGAGCTGTCAGCCATGGTAGCACATACACAGCTGTCAGCCATAGTAGCACACACACAGCTGTCAGCCATGGTAGCACACACACAGCTGTCAGCCATGGTAGCACACACAGCTGTCAGCCATGGTAGCACACACAGCTGTCAGCCATGGTAGCACACACACAGCTGTCAGTCATGGTATCACACACACAGCTGTCAGCCATGGTAGCACACGCACACACAGCTGTCAGCCATGGTAGCACACACAGCTGTCAGCCATGGTAGCACACACAGCTGTCAGCCATGGTATTACACACAGCTGTCAGCCATGGTATTACACACAGCTGTCAGCCATGGTAGTACACACAGCTGTCAGTCATGGTAGCACACACAGCTGTCAGCCACGGTAGTACACACACAGCTGTCAGTCATGGTAGCACACACAGCTGTCAGTCATGGTAGCACACGCACAGCTGTCAGCCATGGTAGCACACACAGCTGTCAGTCATGGTAGCACACATAGCTGTCAGCCATGGTAGCACACACACAGCTGTCAGACATGGTAGCACACACACAGCTGTCAGCCATAGTAGCACACACAGCTGTCAGCCATGGTAGCACACACATCTGTCAGTCATGGTAGCACACACAGCTGTCAGTCATGGTAGCACACACAGCTGTCAGTCATGGTAGCACACACAGCTGTCAGTCATGGTAGCGCACACAGCTGTCAGTCATGGTAGCGCACACAGCTGTCAGTCATGGTAGCACACACAGTTGTCAGCCATGGTAGCGCACACAGTTGTCAGCCATGGTAGCACACACAGCTGTCAGCCATGGTAGCACACACAGTTGTCAGCCATGGTAGCACACACACAGCTGTCAGCCATGGTAGCACACACAGCTGTCAGCCAGGGTAGCACACACAGCTGTCATGGTAGCACACACAGCTGTCAGCCGTGGTAGCACACACACAGCTGTCAGCCATGGTAGCACACACAAAGCTGTCAGCCATGGTAGCACACACACAGCTGTCAGCCATGGTAGCACAGCTGTCAGTCATGGTAGCACACACAGCTGTCAGCCATGGTAGCACACACACAGCTGTCAGCCATGGTAGCACACACAGCTGTCAGTCACAGTAGCACACACACAGCTGTCAGTCATGGTAGCGCATACAGCTGTCAGTCATGGTAGCACACACAGCTGTCAGTCATGGTAGCACACATAGCTGTCAGCCATGGTAGCACACACAGCTGTCAGTCATGGTAGCACACACAGCTTTAACAAACACAAACATTTCGCTATAGACAGTGTTGGAAGCTCTAGTACTCCCTCAGTTGTCTGACAATTTCCATCATAAGATGCAAATATTATTTAATCAAGCAAGTGGCTTGATTAAACACCCCATACCAACTGTTTCAATATAATTACCAATGATATATAAAACTTGCTCGTTACATGATTCCCATTAATGCTCCAAGAGTTAATATTTTAATATCCCAGCAAAAGACTGAACTTCTGCATAAGTGGTTAGAATTCCTCACTCGTCTCATTATTCATTTGTAATATTGTAAATCAAGACTTGTGCTTTTAGATTAGGCAAGAAACAAAAACAAATCTTTTCCTAGATCTGTATACTTTGCCACATTACCACAATGTCTCTATCGATTACCGTTTCCAAATCACAAAGTTAAAACTGCTCTCGTAGATTATAAATTGTCTTCCACGACCATTAAACTTTCTTTCATTTACTATCATTTTCTACCAAATACTGTATGTGGTAGCCACTCAGAGGAGCAAGACGAGGCACTGTAGACCGGAGTTGGGTGTGCAGAGCGCATCCGTATTGCATTATCTTTTCAACTGAATGTATGTTGTATGAGTAGTGAATGCAGTTTTGTAAAATAAACTAAAGTTTGAGGAAATATTTGTTTCACAATTTTACCTAATGTAAAAATATGGATAAAGAAGCAATAAGAAGTGAAGGAGCAGCCACTGGACTGGCAGTTGCTGAGGCTCATAGTTAGGGTTCAAGAATTAGTGCAAGCTGCCTGGCCAGTTGAACCTGTGGTCACTTCCTGTGGTGTATTGTTAGCACAAGAAAAGGCTAAGGGAACAAACCAAGATGCTAGATAGTCTTAAGAGCAATAGGAATAGTGGAGATACTAGGGACAAAGAGCGAACAATGAATAATAAGGAAAAGGAACGTCCAAAGTACATAAACATGCCTACATGGAATATGTTAACTTCGTTAGAGGTCCGGAATGAAAGAGGAGCAGCTAAAATACATTATTTTCCTTGAAGTTTGTCATGGTCGAGTCAATAATGAGAGATGTGGAGGAGAAGAGAAACAAAAAGAGAAGGTGGTAGGAGCACTACAAGCAGAGGAAGGCAAATACAGAAAATTCAGGAAAGGGAGAGAAAAGATAGAAGGACTAGAGTTCATTGATGACCTAAAACAAACCTTGGTATGAGTGATGACCTCCAAGTAGCTACCTTGAAGGACATAGAGGAACCTAAATTTTCCTCTGGGAACCACAGATGAAGGAAAAGTAGAGTGGTTTTGGGAAACCACTACGGCACATTATGACAAGGCCATTAAATTACCTAGATAAGAAAGTGACTATGTCTTCGTTACAAACAAAAGTGCTTTTGTAAATGTGTTGGTAAACACAGAGTATGCTGCAGGTATTAAGATGAAAAATGCAGTACCAAACCGTACTGCAGTAAATGCAGTAACCATCGTCAAATTCAATGTTAATAAACACATTACGCCTGTATATCTTTGTGATGAAAATGTTGTAAACCCTAAACGTTTGACAATTGGCCTCATAGCTGCCACATGGAAAGGTGGTGGGCACGACCCTGACGTAGAGTGATCACTCCCCGTGTCTGGGACAATGTCATCTACTGTGTAGGGACCACCCACAGCTGGACCCCACGGTCAACTGGAAGTGGGGGATAAGGAACAGGATCAAGATGAGACGGATCGCAACCTCAGCTTCCCTATCAACTCGTCCTTGGGTCGCTCCACTGATCAAGCAGCGGCTGCCCTTCGTGAACCGTGGCAGGAATACCAGCAGCAATCACAGCAGGAGACGGAGCGGCTGCAAGACAAGCTCCAACATGAAGAAAAATCCACCAGCAATATTGCAGAGCTGCTCACATGCATGAGGGGACTTGTAAGTAGGGACAAAACTCAACCCCTCCCCCCTTTCCACCCCTGAACCCTCCAAGTAAGTAAGTAATTATCAAAAGAAGGCACCAAGCCGGAAAGGTTATGTAGCACCATCAAATGTGCAGAATATTTATAGGGCCCTAAATATATCACTAAGGATGCCAATACAAGAGCAAAAGCACATAAGGCGAATGAAATCAAAGGTATTTGATTCGCCAAGAAGTCTATCAAGGGACAAGTGACCGTGAAGGACAGTCGGGAAGCAAGACACACGCTCGTCCTGGAAGTCCGGACATTCAACAAGGATATGCACAACCGTAAGAGGGACAATGAAGTTTGGACAATAAGGAGCAGGGCGGCGCTCCATTAAGTGACCATGAGTTAAACAGGTATGTCCAATATATGTAACCTCGCCAGAGCCGTTTCCCACCACCGCCAGTTATGGTGGTAGGAGGAAGGCCACGAGTCTGAGAGGTTAAATGAAGGTCATGAAATCGGCATAGAAACGAACATGAATATAAATTTGTCAATGATTAAGCCCTTATACCACCAAGAAACCACAATTAGATAAGACGACAAGACGGGATGCATTGTGGGTATACACACTACAATCGTCACTTTAAAAATCGTCAGACCGTCGAGAACAGACTCAGCAATGAACGCAAGGTTTTACAATAAAAACGTCCCCTCGTTCGGCAATAGCAGGCACCACAGTTCTACGGGTGAGAGTGTGTGCCTTCCCAAACACCCGACTCAAAACAGAAGAAGACATCAGAGAGAATATTTAAGAACGGCAAAAAGTCGGCTGGAATGATCAGAAAGAAGAAGAGGTGAGGAGGAAAAATTCAACATGAGGAAGAGGAAAAAGCAATTTGCCTAAACATAACAATAGCCTAAATGTATTTCTAGCTTCAAGGCTTAACTGGAAATCTAGCTTGATAGCTTAACTGTATGTCTAGCCAGACAGCCTAGCTGTATATCTAGCCTGACATAGGTTATCAAACAAGACAGGGTCTTGTATACAGTTGTCTTTATGTTCAACTCACAATCAGGGATCTCAGATTCGACTCCCAGGCAGAAATGGTTGGACTTTTTTCCTTTCACTTAAAGCTACTGTTCACCTATCAGAAACAGGTACCCCGGAGTTAGGCAACTGCTGAGGGTTTGCATCCTGAGTAGGTTTGCAGTACAGTAGTTCGACCTAGGAGGGACCATCACCAAGCTCAAGAATATGGGTAATTATAAGCCTCTCAAGTTCTTCAATCAAACAGGTTTATTTTCATTGCCTGACTCCACTACTATACATTTTGAACCATCGTATTGCAGACATTATAAAGGAAATTAACTCAAAGAATGATGACCTAACAGTCATCCATGTCAACATAATCACCAAAGTATAATGACCACAGTCATTCATGCCTACATGATCAACAAAGTATAATGAACACACAATTATTCCAATGAAATCTTGATTCCAAGGAAAAGAAGGTAGTTATTCAACTATATTATATAAATTACATAAATCCCTGGTGCACCCCCACTTGGATTATTGAATCCAAACATGGAGATCTCATCTTCAGAAAGACACATCTGCTTTGGAGAAAATTCAATGTGGGCAACTAAAATCATTCAAGAACAAGGTCGACTCTCATACCACGAACAGTTGAGGGCCACACAGCTTACACTGCAATCCAGACATTACAGGGCTGATCTCTTTGAAACTTTTAAAATACTGAATAATTTGGAGGATCTTGATCCAGACCATTCTTCAAAAGGTCAGATTGAACATGATCAAGAAGTAATGGTTTCAAGCTTAACAAGCCACAATGCAAGACAGAAAACAGGAGATGCTCTTTCACCCGTAAAGTTATAAAATCAGTGGAACCGCTTACCTGTTGCAGCCATAAATGCCAAAACACTGCTGTATTTCAAAATTAAGCTCGACAAAATCCTCAGGGCAAATGTAGGGGACCTTCGACAAGCAGGCGGCTTCTTATCCTCGTCGAGGCCATTTGGAGAGTGGGCCTTAGACAAATTCAGGTAAATGATCTACAAAGCATTACGACCACAATCATCGACTAATACATTATCTACAACACACATTGACCTCACATTAATGCATACATTTTTCATTTATTTATTATGGACCCCATACCCATCTCATGGGTGATGGTGGAAAGGGTTACAGAGGCACATAATGGGTTCAGGAACTAAACCACACCTACATGGGGGTGGGGGCCTCGTAGCCTGGTAGATAGCGCGCAGGACTCGTAATTCTGTGGCGCGGGTTCGATTCCCGCACGAGGCAGAAACAAATGGGCAAAGTTTCTTTCACCCTAAGTGCCCCTGTTACCTAGCAGTAAATAGGTACCTGGGAGTTAGTCAGCTGTCACGGGCTGCTTCCTGGGGTGTGTGTGTGTGTGTGGTGTAGGAAAAAAAAAAAAAAAAAAAAAAGTAGTTAGTAAACAGTTGAGAGGCGGGCTGAAAGAGCAAAGCTCAACCCCCGCAAAAACACAACTAGTAAACACATGATTGACCAGTCATTGATGCTTAAATGATTGATAAACTATAATAACCACATAATCATTCATAAGTATTATATACCTGTCAATGATTCCGAGGATCAACATCCCAACGGCGTGGTTGACTAAGCCTCTTGGTTGGTGATCTGATCAACCAGGCCTCGTGGTTGGTGGTCTGGTCAACCAGGCTGTTTGATGGAGTTATAGCCTGGTTGATCATGTATCCCTTTGAAGGTGTTTATCAAGTTTTCTTTTGAACACTGCGGGAAGTCTTCCAGTTATGCTCCGTATGTGTAGAAGGAGTGTTGAAGAAATCTTGGGCCTTTACCTGGAGCATACCTGGATAGGGTTCTGGGAGTTGTTCTACTCCTTGAACCCATCCTGAGGCCAGGCTCAACTTGTGATAACTTGACCTAATAGGCTATTGCTTGGAGCAGCCCACAGGCCCACATATCCACTACATTCGGTTGATCCGGTGGATAAATCAATGGTTTTTAGCAGTAGATCAAGACAGCAAACAATATATGACTAAAAACAGCACCTTGTTTGACCCCATTTTCTGGGGGAGCTCCTTGTTGCCAAGATTGCTCCCAACTATTAAGTCACATCAGCTGCAGAGTTCTGTTTGGCCTTCCAGGTACCAGAGCCAGAAACTGGCATCCTCACAGAGGTACAAAGAGCAGGCAACACTCTGCCATCGGAGTGGTGGAGGGTTAACCATTGATATATCCATTACATCTGGTTGATCTGGCACTTCTTGCAGGCACTTATCTAACTGCTTCTTTAAGATCTCCATCTTTGTTCTGGCAATATTTCTACTGCTTGCTGGGAGGGTACTGAACAGCCGTGGACGTCTAATATTTAGACATTGCTGATTGTGCCTATGGCACCTCTATTCCTCACTGGTTCTATTATGCATTTCTGTCCATATCTTTCGCTCTAATACTGTATGTTAATCAAGTGGTCAGTATTGGTTTCCCGACATTCTGGATGCTTTCTTGGTGTGGTTATGGAGCGTTGCCTGCTCTCTGTACCTCTGTGAGGAGGCCAGGTTCTGGCTCTGGTACATGGAAGGCCAAACAGAACTCTGCAGCTGACGTGACCTAATAGATGAGAAACATCTTGGCAACAAGGAGCTCCCCTAGAAAATGGGGTCAAACAAGGTGCTGTTTTTAGTCATATATAGTTTGCTGTCTTGATCCACTGCTGAAAAATGTTAAGAGCCCTATAGAGCTATCACTTAGGCAGTACTAAGGTCAATATTTTCTGTTATGCTGATCTAGTTCTACTTGCACTAACTAAAGACTCTATACAAAAAACTTGAAAGAAACATGTTAAAGATATAGTGCAGAATACAACCTAACATTCAATCCTGCCAAATGTGTTGTGGTTGCTTGTACCTCACTGGACTCTCTTTATTAATATCCCAAACTAAAATTAGTAGGCAGAGAGAGATTCCAGTAAAGTATTCTAAAAAGTGTACGGGGCATATTATACTGTATACTCATAGGGCCCACTTGTCAATTTTTCCGATGCTATATTAGAGACCTGGAGGTCAGAGCAAATGTCATCAGTGAATTTGGTCATCTTGATACCTGGTCGAAAGTTAAAGTTATTTAACTGTCAATGTCTAAGCTTCTATGAATATGAACTATGGGACTTAAGAAATGCTGACCTTGGTAAGTTTAATTGTGAATGGTGGAAATGTTCTAGATATATCTTGGGTGTCCATCCCTGCACTCATTGCAATCTCCTACCTAGTGTAATGTCCAAGGCCACACACACTTGAAGAAATAGTTCACAAATGATATAATTTTGTCTGAAGGGAATCACCTATCCAGTAAACTTAATCAACTCATTTTTTTTTGTATCAGGCACTAACTTATCACTGGCCACTCCTACTTTCCAGACATAAACTTGTTAGGAAAATCCAAATTAAGGATGAATGATGTATGTAAAGATGTAGCAGGTCAACAAGACAGGATAAAATAACTAGCCAGCAGAGAAAGCATGGAGATCCCCAGCAGGATATTTGAAATTAGGAAGGAGCTACTGTCACAGAGAGATGGATGACTGACAGGTATATCGTGTCCAATTGAAATCAGATCGATGTTATATCAATCTGACTGTGTGCTAGTCAGTGAACTATGAGTGACTGTGAGCTGTGTGCTAGGAGTGATTTTGATATGTTGACATAGAATGCCGAGGTTGTGCATCTTTCTAGAACTTCATGGCATGATTAATATATATTATTTCAACCCATTCTCCTGTTTAGATAGTACTTTTTGTAACTATGTGCACCATAGTAAAAACATTGATGTCATTGATGTACTAAGCAATTAGATAGTAGAACTTTGTACTACAGGTATTCACTTTATAGTCCCCAAAAAATTAAATTAAAAAACATACCTGTACTGTACTTAAATATTCCTAGGCCTAGTATAGCACACATATGTACTACATTAGGCCTCAGATAGCATGTACTGTATTAGCCCTAGGAAGGTTAGGTATGTTTGTCTTTGCAGCATAAGTAGGGAATCCTTTTCTGGTTTGTTCAAATTCAATGCAGTATTACCAATTTCTAATTGCAGTGTCCGTCATTATATGTACTATTGTCCTCATCCTTCCTATAAGTACTGTTTTTACTCCTATTCTGTAAAACTCCTGTTGTACTCATATCCTGTAAAACTCCTGTTTTACTCCTATCCTGCCACCAAAGAAGTGTGTTGCCTCCAAGGAACTGCAGCCACTGGGCAGACTTAATGACCAGATGAAGGGAACTGGAGCATATATGGGTGTCCATGAATATAAAACACATGGGCAGCTAAGCCACAGGATGTATTTCACTTGTGCACAGCTATAGCAGGCAGATGGGAGCAGAAGCTACCCACACCAATTTAATGGTGATGGTGCACGAGAGTGCTCTCATTATGTCAAGGCAGCACCTTAGAGGAAGTTGAGCATGAGAGATAACATTTGAACCTATCAATTGAAGGTGATAATTCAGATGAAAATCATCAAGGATAGTGAGATCATCAGAACACAAGATCAAAATATTTGTCCTAAGTAAGCAAACCGAATAAACCACCGGCTGTAAAAGTGTAAAAGGAAGCTTGACAACACCAAGTGTAATTATGACGTCACACCTTTCCAGTAGAGGATGGGGTCTTCGTAAGGCAGCATTATAAAAAGCAGGTAAGGGTCACACAGGGTGATGAAACAGTCACCACAAGTGACAAGGGAAGACATCCCTGCCATGGAAGCAGTAGGTGAAGGGAGAGGATTGGGTAATGCCAGGTCATGGTCCAATACAGGAAGGAGATCCCTTTACAACACACAAGAGGGAGAAACCATTCTTCCAGAATGGCCAGTCTGGATACATGCCACAATGATTCTTTCTTATGCTCCTTTGCCAGGCCAATGCAGTGCCTGGGAATGGGTAGTATGGGGTAAAACTTTCTTTAATCAAAGCCAAACAGTCTTCTCTCACAGTTTACTAAATGAAATTTAACACTATATTTAAACAAGATAACATTTACTTATTGCTACATTAAATTAAGGGAAAATTGATCAGTAGTATTAGACACTTTACATGACGGCCATAAAGATACTGTTCTTCATTTTAATAACCTAGAAGCATCTAGCTCTGTCACCAACAGTGAAAATGTTCTTTCAAGCAAGAAACTGTACCTCATTTTATTATTGAAAATATACAGTCTATGACTTCTTTGCACAAAATTGAAAGTACTGACTATAATCTAAAAATATAAAACATTATCCCTTCCACTGCAGTATTTTATTGGAAACTTCCACAAGGAGTTTTCTGGGAGGGCTTCTTTGCAGGTTCCCTGGTGCTAGTAAACCTAGATAACTGCATCACATTAAATCACACCAGGCCCTTGTGAGTTATTGTAAGCCTACGAGATATCTGAGACCAAAACCTGGCCAACTCTAAAAAGATTCACGGAGAACGGGGATACTAGATACAAGATGCATGTAGGGCATAACAACCAACACCATGATTACCAAATTATTTGCATTACATTACAGCAGATTGATGAAGAAAAGGACCTTGAAGTCAAAATCCACCACTCATTAAGTGTTAAAAGTTACACAACAGGTGAGTGCAGCAGTCAGAAAACTAACAAAGCTCTTTGGATAATCAAACATATTTTTAACTACTGTATAAGGAAAAGAAGATAATGGTTCAACTATATAAATCTCTGGTGCATCCCCATTTAGATTACTGCATCGAAGCATGGAGACTTCATCTTCAGAAGAACATAGCTAGCTGCTCAGGAGAAGGTGCAACACCAGGCAACTAAAGTCATTCCAGAGCAGAGTCATCTCTTGTATCAGGAACGCTTGAAGGCCACAGGGCTAACAACACTGCAAACCATGCATGACAGGGCAGATCTCATTGAAACTTAAAATACTGAACAAATTAGAGGATGTTGATCGGATATTTTCCTCAGAAGGTCAGATGTAACACAAACAAGGAGCAATAGTTTCAAGCTCAACAAGCCACAATGTAGGACTGAGAATATATGCTTTTTCACCCACAGGGTTATTAACCCATGGAACCTCCTACCTGCTGAAGCTGTAACTGCCAAAACTGTGTTGAGTTTTAAAATATATCTGGAAAAGACCAAGACGAATGGGGGGACCTTCAACAAGCCAGCTTCCTGTCCCCGTCAAGGCCACTAGGGTTAGTGGCCCTGAGGTAAATCAGGTAAATAACTCAGACTAAGAGAAGGTGCCTTACCTGCTGGTAGCAGCTGTGCACAGCCAGGTGATTATGTGCTAAGCTACTGGATCTGACCCCTTGAATCACCAGTCATTAAGCCTGGGGAAATGCTTCTTACACTCCACTTTCATGCCAAGTGTTCTTCGAGTTCCAGTTTATCACGCAAGTGCTTGCTATCCTTTGGATTTCGTCCTGCAAGGGCCCATTTGCTTCACATGCATGTGTTTTCATGCCTCACTTATATGACTCTGATTAACTGTTCACCTCAAGCTGCATGCATCAAGAATTGACTTCTCTAGGTGTGTTGGTGGTTGCCTCAGAGTCTAGCCTATATTATTGTGTGGCTGTCCCAGAGAAGCTTATTGGTTGATGGCAAGGTGCTTGCAAGCTTGTTTTATGACCTACCCAGCCACCTATGCCCATAGGCTGGGTTTGGCATTTGTTATATTCGTGGTGAGCGGCTCCTGTGCCCAGTACTTCCTGCTTGGTCAATCTTTTGATACCCAGCAAGCCACTGGTAGCTTTCGGTAAGGTTCTACACTCACTTTGTGAGCATTTGAAGAATGCCCCTCGAATTTGTTATATTAAATATAACCTCTTATCCTCCCTAATATCCTGTGGCTATTCTTACTGGCTCCACCATGCCGCTGCCTATTAGGCAGCTGCTGTTTTGCAGGAGAGGTTTTTCCATGTGCATTGTTTACAGCTTTTTGTAGAAGTGGGTGGTCTGGAGTTGGCCTGTCTTATTATGACCCAATTTTGAAACAGTTTGAGTTATCCACCTACTCTAAGTTCCCCCATTCCACTTTCTCCATCCCTGGGGCCCATCTGGTGTTGAGTACTAGGCTTTGAAGTCTCCCACTTTGCTCTGGGTTCCAGAGCGGCTGAGGATTTCGGAGTCCAGGGATGCCGTTTCTTTGGGCGAGGAGGGGCCTTCTCTAGGGACCACCCCTTCCACTTTGAGAGCATAGGTAGTTGGACCACACTTCTTGCCGAAGATTCGCACCCTTCTGTTTTTTTAGGAGAATTGTGGCCATGGCTCCTTGTTTATGAGGAGACACTTTTCTGTTCCAAGTGTCTGGTGTGAGACACAGCACTACCACAGAGCCTTCATTTCCATGGGTTGTCAGGGCTGTGAGGGAAATCAAAAAGGATCTTTGAGAGCCCTTCAACCCCAATTGGTTTTTGGTTTCCTCTGTGGAGGAATATTATCTCAAGGCTGAGGGTTTATTATATCCAACAATTATGTTCAAGACAGACTCTTCAGTGGCTCCTCCCTGTGTTTGTCTCTAGGACCGTTTAGAATACTACAGGCAAATGCAGAATTATTTTGGTTCCTCCTTAACCCTTGCACTGCACCAGCCAACATATTAAGGGGTGTAGTGCACCAGCCAACATGTGATTATGTTAGTTAATATACATTTAATACACAAGATATATACATTTGCTTCCTCCGGCCTGCAGTAACCATCCCCCCTTCTTGAAAAAACATCCTGAGTCTGTCACTTTCCTTTTATGGGCTTAGTATGTTGCCAAGGTTACTATGGCCTACAAAATGTTCCTTAGGCCATGGCTTTAGGAACGTGTAGGGCAGCCATACTATGAGCCACTGAATTTTAACAACAGCAAGTGAGTGATTATCATTATATATTTCAGGCAAAATGTGTGATATGTCCAATTATAAGATTTAGGCTTATATATAGGTTTATATATATATTAGTAAGAATAAATACATGGTGCTCATATATTAATACACATATATCTGTATAAATGTATATTTTCATTTATATATAATGAACACCATCTTTGACACAGAGATACATCTTGTTAGAGTGAAAAACTAAATAAATAAAGTGAGAAACATTGAAAATAAATCAACAAAGTTATTCCCGTGGCAACTCTCCTCATTTTTTACTAAAAAAAAAATGCAACTTCTTTAGGCCACTACAGCTAAACTATAAGAGGTAGAGACTGTTTACATGGATTTTTGTGCTTCCTGGGTGCTAATTGACAATACCAAAAGAAACAATACTGTTTATGAAACAATTTATTTTTGGCACACCACAGGAATGTTATTTTAAAAGTTGCGCAGTGCAGGGGTTAAGTATCGAGACCTTGCAATCTTGATGGAGCTTTCTTCCTCCAAGGTTGGGTCGATCGCTTCTTTCGGGTTACTGTATGAGGTCCATGATTTGTCTTGTTTGTGGGAAAAAGTATGAGATTGCTTGGTAGTCCCTCTGTCCCTTTGTCACTTGTCCTTGGTTTCTGTTCCAATGCTCCTTTAATTTTTGTCACCTTTTTTTTATTGATTTCTCATGCAAAATAGTGTCACCTAGTATTTTTTGGTCTTAGTAAAGTCACTACCGTTGCCATTCAGTATTGACGTTTCGCCAGCACTGTTTTGCAAGTTGTCTCGGGCATTTGTTCCACCTCCTGCTTGCTCTTGCATTCTTGATCTTTGGATAAGGTTCTGGCATTCTGTTTTTCTCTGCTTCTTCAGCCTAGGATTACTTTTACAAGACTGTTTTCATTGGTCCTTGCTTCCAGTGGTATGATGGGGGAGTGTCATGCTCTCTTCCAGGAGTAGGGATTTTGTTCTTTTGGAATGTGTGTTTGTATTCTTCATTTGCAGCCTTCTCCATTTTTGGCTAGGAATGAGAGATTTCCTGAGGCATCCTTTAGTAGCTGATGCTTGGTTGCTTTGGCCGGGGGTGCATCATTTATTGTGTCCAGTTGTGGTCATTTGTTGCACCACTAGTGGTGCAGAGGGGGATGTTTTGAGGACCTATTGTCCCTTGTATCTTCCTCCAGGGCCCATTTCTTAGGTTGTTCAGTGTCTCCTCAAGTTTAATTAGCCTGCCGCTTACCTTCGGGGAAAATAATCCCAAGTTTGCAGCTGTGCATTATTCTCAAACATGTCCTGGGCTCAAGGATTTAGCAGAAGGCCAACAGCTTAGTACCTCTGAATGGTAAAAAGAAGACCTTAAACAAAATACAGGGTACAAAATACAATCAAATCTGCCCATAGTAGGAAAGCAGCATGTAAACTATCTGGGAATAATGATGTCTGACGATCTAACACTTAGGAAGCATAACCAAGCAAATATTGCATCAGCCAGAAAATGAGAGGATGGATTACAAAAACCTTCAAATCCGGGGATCCCATGACAATGAATGTACAGTACTATTCAAATCTGTGCTGTCCTATCTTGAGTACTGCTCCATACTCACTCACTCACTCACCTCTTCAGAGCAGGAGAGATTGCTGAAATAGAGGGAATCCAGAGAACACATACAGCCTACATAGACACAATAAGGCACCCAAATTATTGGGATCATCTCAAAGCTTTCCAAATGTACTCTCTAGAAAGGTGACAAGAGAAGTATCAAATAATATACACATGGAAAATACTGGAAGGCCAGGTCCCAAATCTACAAAGTAAAATATCAACATACAGGAGTGAACGATATAGAAGGAAATGCAGAATACAACAAGTGAAGAGCAGGGGTGACATTAGCACAATCTGAGAGCACTTTATAAACATTAGAGGTCCACAGTTGTTCAACATCCTCCAAGCAAGTATAAGAAATATACTTTACATGATGGCAACAAGGTGGACATCGTCAAGAGAAAACTGGATAGCTTTCTTCAAGAAGTGCCAGACCAACCGGGCTGTGGGCCACTCCAAGCAACAGCCTGTTGGACCAAGCTTTCACAAATCAAGCCCTGGGCCGGGCTTGGGGAGTAAACGAACTCTCAGAACCCCATCCAGGAACAATCCAGGTGCATTGCACAAGTATAGCGCTATGTAGGGTGACTAGCTGTTGATTCCCCCTATTATGCAGATACTGACTTTGGCTCCTATTTGCCTCCAGTGAGTTCCCTTTCTGTTTTTGCTCTCCATTATGAGATAGAACTGGGCAGCCTCCAAAGAAGCCCTCTCAGAAAATCAGCATTGAAAGTAATGATGGATGGGTCTTTGGAGGCTCCCTGAATGCTCTGTTACCTTTTCCAGGGCTTTGGTTTTTTGTCTTCCTGTTTTTTTATTTACTGGTATTTATATACACAAGAGTTCTTACATTCTTGTAAAGCCACTAGCATACATAGCATTTCGGGTAGGTCCATAATCCGAATTTTCCCTGGAATACGGCCTACCAAATCATTTAACAACCAGGTACCTATTCACTGCTGGGTGAAGAGAGGCATCCAGTTAAGGATTGGAGCCTAGTCAATTCTCCATGACCAGGATATGAACCCAGGCCAAGTCACTTGCGAAAAGCAGGGCGAGTGTTTTACCACTACGCCGCGGGGATTGGTTCAATGACTGAAATAACAGATTGGCAGATCTAGCAGTTGGCTGCTCAGTCACCTGGTGGCACACAGCTGCTACTAGTGGGTGATCCGGCTAATGTCCAGGTGGATAGTTTTGAGGTCTTGTTTTCTATATTTTGTTTACCATGCCATTTGTTTTGTTTCACCACATTTCAGGTTTCCTTTTCATTTACATTTCATTGTGTCCCTGGTAGGCTCACAATGACTTGCAAGGCCTGGTGTAAGTCCATGTGGATACAGCTATCCAGGTTTGCTAACAAGACAAAGCCTCCTAGATTACATCGGAAAAAGGCTTTTCATTACGTTCAATGCTGTATATTTTTTTCTGGAGGGGACCGAATTGTGGCTCCTTGAAGCTAGCTTGTTTAGGCAGCTCCTCTTACTTAGTCATAATAGCCATAAGAGTCTCATATGGCCTACCACTGATCAGAGCCAAAATTTGGTACACCTCACAGAGGCACAGAGAGCCGGGGATTGTTATGATCATCCTCACCACAAAAACATTCAGAAAGTAAGCAAAGCAATACAGTTCATAGAAATCAAAGCGGTGAAACAGCCAAACAATTCCACGAAAGATTCACTCATAAACTAGGTCAAAATATTCTTGTTACAGATGGCCACCAATAGGTGTCAGCACAACTGACAGCTAACTTTCATGCCATCTTAGCATCAGTACTGTCATTGATGTCCTGGAATTTGAACCTTCCCGAGTTGCTGGCCATAGCGAGTCTCTCTTCTTTTCAAGATAAGTACTCACCTAGTTGTGTTTGCAGGGGGTTGAGCTTCGGTTCATTGGTGCCACCTCTCGACTGTCAATGTACTGGTGTACAAGTGCCTGAGCTTATTGAGCTCTATCATATCCACATTTGAAACTGTACAGAGGTAGCCTCCACTACATCACTTCCTAATGCATTCTATTTATTACCTACTATGATGCTGACAAAATTCTTTCCAGTGTCTGTGGCTCATCTGGGTATTAAGTTTCCAAGTGTAGGCCATTCTTTGGACAGTGTCATCTGAGGCCATATGCTTGTGTTTCGTTCCTGACTTTACATCCTGTATCCTGGCAAATACGTCAGTATTTGCTTCACGTGCATATTTTTTAAGCCTCACTTGTTGTGTGGACTTTATTTATTCTTCGCCTCTAGCTGCATGTAGGCAGTCCTTCCCTAAGTGCTTGTTTTGGTGTTGCCTCTTGCTCTGACAGTGACTTCTCTGATGAGTCTGAGAGTTTGCTGCTGAGTTTGTACTACTGTATAGGGTGTCTCACCCTTGTTAGTGAGACTCTGACTCTTATGCGAGGTCCTGTGGTTGGGGACTATTGGGATTTTTGCTGTAGGGTGCATAGGGTTTGTGTGCTTGTCTATGATATGCCGCTAATGCCTTTCAAAGCCGTGTTTTTCCTAATTTCTGTATTTGGCATCAGCTCCTTTGGTGAGCAGCTCTAGTGCCTGGGTATCCTGCTTGGGTATTCCTTCAGACCCCATAACGACTTGTTATGGGTTGATCCTGCACTTGCTACTTACGAGTTTGAAAGGTGCTTGTTGGCCTTGCTACACTTCAATAGTCACCATCTCCATGATGCTGCCTATTCATTGGAGATACTTTTGAGTTATACTGCTTCCTCAGGTAACACCGTTTTGCTGCTCCCGGAACTTTTGAGTTCAGGTCCCGTTTGCCCTTTGTTGGCTCGTGTTGCCGGCTTTCTCTTCAGGCTTTTTGGGGTATGGTTCCATGGTGCTTTCTTCCCTCATTGCCTGATGTGTTCGTGAATGTCTTGGCTCCAAGCTAAGGTTTTGTAATCAACACCCACAAAACCTCCCAAGGTCATTGGCTGGGTCTACTCCTTTAGGTGCATGGCATAGTATGTGTGTTTGCAGCAGTGTGGAAGGCCCTTTGGAGGATTTGCCTTCCTCTGGGCTCCATTTTCCAGCTCCAGCTCCAGGAGCTGGAGTAACGATGATAGTAAATAAGGATGATAATGATGGAATATCATCATTGGCCTTGCTCCATTGGCCCTGAGGTTTTGTGATCAACACTCACAAAGCCTCCTAAAGTCATTGGCTGGGTCTACTCCTTTAGTTGCATGGCATATTATGTGTGTTTGCAGCTGGAGTAATGATGATAATGAAGGAGTAACACAATACGAGCTAGATGGTGTTGAGATTGCGAAAGGGATCTGGGTATTATGATTAGTAAGAATTTAAGACCAAGAAATCAATTCATAAATGTTCGTAACAAGGCAAATAGAACACTGGGATTTATCTGTCAAAGTGTTAGTAATAAAACACCTGGTGCTATTCTTCAGTTATATCTTGCTCTTGTTAGGCCCCATTTAGATTATGCAGTTCAGTTTTGGTCGCCATACTATAGAATGGATATAAATTCACTAGAACACGTCCAGCGTAGGATGAAAAGTTTATCCCGCAAATTAGAAACCTGTCATACGAAGAAAAAATTACAATCTTCAAATGGACAAATAGGCCTTCTGCAGATACCCTCATTCTTATGTTCTTATGAAGCCCCAAACTAGAGATGAAGTGTTCGTGAACACATCGAACAATGGGGAAGCATAGCACCAAAATATTAAACCCCAAAAAACCTGAAGGAAAAGCTTGCGAAGTAAGAGCTGATAAAAGGTAGATGGGGCCAGAATCCACCAGGCCTGAGAGCAGCAGAAAGAGTGGAAACAGACAAATCAGTACAGCCCAGAGTCACACTCTGCTCAAGGGAAAGATAATGCAGGAAATGTTCAGGCGCTCACACAACCGCTCAACCAACAGGTAAAACACCCAGGGCCAGTCCAACACTGGACAGCGATGAAGTTTCAGGCAGAGCAAAGCCGCCAGAGGCAGGGAAAGAAAAGCCAACCGAGAGTCCAAATGAGGCTCAGCCAAGTCTAAACCTGAGACGGAACAAACTGGGACTTCCTCCAGTTGGCCGGTGAGCTGGGAAGGAACTGAATCCAAACCTATCTGATATGCGGACTAACTTGAGGTCCACACCAGCCAGTCATCGAGGTAGGCCAACACACAAACCCCTAACAGATGTAACTGGGTCACCATGAACTGCACTAGACTGATAAACACATGGGGGGCTATATTCAAGCTGATGGGAAGAACCCTAAAGTGGCAAGCTTGATGCTCCACAAGAAAACATAGCTAGTCTTATGAGGATGTGTCAATACGTATCCTTGAGGCTCAAGGACACCATCCAAGCTCCAGCCAGTAACAGCAGGAGAACGTGGTACAAAGTGGTCATGCGGAAGGTCGGACAGGGAATGGAGCTATTCAGACCCGAGACATTGAAGATATGTCTTATGTCCGCCAAGTCCTACTTCAGGATCGAGAACAAGCGGAAAACCCACTGATGGGACAAGGTCACCTCTACCATGCTGAGGCCAACCAACTTTCAATGACCCAATGCAATGGCAGGGAGGACTCTTGACTCAACAGGCCCAACCCCATGTATAGAGAAGGAACCAAATAGCTCTGCCAATGGCTATGTTGAGGTTATCTTGAGATGATTTCAGAGCTTAGCGTCCCCGCGGCCCGGTCCTCGACCAGGCCTTCTTTTTGTTACACACCCCCCCCCCCCTTCCCTCCAGGAAGCAGCCCGTAGCAGCTGTCTAACTCCCAGGTACCTATTTAATGCTAGGTAACAGGGGCATCAGGGTGAAAGAAACATTTTTCCCATTTGTCTTCGCCTCCACTGGAAAAAAAATTGTGGGGTCAGAAACTATCCCAATGCATGGGAACATCCCATGCATAAATTCAAACCCTCATCAAGACCCTTGTGGATTTGTTCGCTAAGTGGCAACTGCCTGAAATGCCTTTAACTGGGAGACAGAATCCATCAATGCAGAGACCCAGTGAGGTATCGCCTTGCATGACTCAGGGCCATAGGTATCCCTGACCCAACAGGTAGCAAGGGTGGGCTTAGTGGGGTCCAACCCATATGGACCAAGTCAGAGACCTGCAAGGTATTTCCAGGGCCAGAAGGATGTTAACCAAGCAGACACTTCAGGTACTGGGGCTGCTCGCCGGAAGAAAAAGACACCAATCACAGCTAAAACTACCAGGATATGAGTAGCAACTGCAGCATGCCATGTAAACAAGCTCACCAACCCCAGTGCACCCCAGCACAACCCAAGAACACTCCCAGCTAAGAGCCAAAACAGAGAATTAAAGATCCTTGAATAGCCAAAGAAAAGGCTGTCTACCTCATTAGTGTTGCCTCTTAAGGGCAAACTCCCGAACACACTAGAGAAGGGAACTCTGACTGTGCACGGGCAATGTTAGCAGACATTCAAGCAGGAAAACCCTGAGAGCATTTAGCCTGAAATGTCACATGAAATGCATGTAAAGTCTATACTAAAAGAAGAAACAATACATGAAGCAAATGGCCCCCACAGGACAACAAAGTCCAAAGATGGCCAGCACTTAGCTTGATGCAGTGGAGCTTTTCCATGATCTGACGGATTGGAAGCACTATGAGCACCACTACATGGTGCGACATCAGCAACAGAACTGAGAAGGGGAGTTGACCGAGGGCTGTAGCCAGGTCACCTGGTGGTTGTATTCGGTACTAATGAGTTTTTAGTTTAGGTAAATCCCTCATTGTGTGTGAATCGTTTCCAGAGATGTTTGGCGGGTTTCAAAGCTTTGTTTTCCGAGAACCCTCCAGTTGTTTGAAAAGCTGTGCTGACTTTCTGGAGGCTTTTTCTGGAGTGGCAGATAGTTGCCCACTTCCTGGATTTCTGTGAGAGGGGGCCATGTTCTGCCTCTGGTGCCAGTGGGCCAAACAAAACTTATGCAACTGATGTGACCTTTTAGTTTGGAGCACTTCAGGGAGCCACTGGGGGGGGGGGGGTCCCTCCAGAAAAGGCCACGATCACTACAGTCCTCCAATAATTGAAAGCACAACTGAACATTTATCGAGTTGATATCTAGTTGTTTACATGTCTGAGGGCTCGCACAGGCAACGACCCAACACAACAAAAGTGCTCATGAGCATGGTCCACAGTGGAAGGGTTAACTCTCATAATATGAAATTAGATACAAAACTTAAAGGTACCATGCTGTTACTATACATGTATCAGAACATTATAATGAAATATACAGTAATGCATAATATTCAATTTAAAAACTAACTTTAATTTAAAGTCATTTGCTCTAGATTAGGTTTTAGGTACATAATAGATCTCCTAAATAAATCACAAGCAACTTAAAAATGACTTATGGCGACAATGCAAAACACCACAGCACTGTTAAATGTTTAATTTTCTTCTTTGTCTCTTGGATATTGGAAGATGTTAATCAGCTCATCAAGTAGCGTTTCATGTCTGAAAAATTACAGGAAATTAATTTTTTCTTGTTGTAAAAAAGAAAAAAAGAAAAAAAAAAAGAAAATACCTATGCCATACTCAAAACCCACATACTGATTGACTTTTTAGTATTACTGCAAATTATATTAGAAGAAAGCTCAAAAGCAGATAATAAAAAATTAATTCTCAAATATAACAGTAATGCAAAGGAATCAAATAATAGCCTGTCATCTACCACTGCAATAAATTGTCAGTCAGGCTGGGAATAGATCTTAAGTAGCATCCCATTTATCCACAACCAGTAATAGATCCAAAAGTCAACATAAACTGGTGGAAAAATTTAATTCTGGATATTCAGAGCCTAAACAAATAACCTTTGATTTGATATGAAAAGCTGTTTTCGTAACAAAATCCTTGCTTGCTTCCTAAGGTATGATCTAACTGGGTCCACAGAACAGGTTATATACAGTCAGGGCAACACACGGCATTGATGTTGCAGGGTTGTACTTGTGCTCGGGAGAATTAAAATACAGCACAATCAATCCAGTACTTAGAACTTTAACCTTATAAGACATCAAACTCCTCTAAACATTTGTCCAAAATAAAACATGACTGTCTGGCAATGCAATGATAACTACTAAATAGCACCCAAGTTACTACAAACCACCACCAGTACTGACACCACAATACAGTACTGCAGTATGATTCGATCACCCAGTTCCTGATGCAGAGAAAGTTTTATGTACAGGCGAGCAGAGAAAGCCAGAGAGGGACCAGGAGAGAGTATTCTCCCAGTCTAAAGAGTATTCAGAATACTCTTTATATTAACACAAAGTCTGTTTTCTGAGTTAATCCTTTTGGCTGCTCCCTTAGTGTCCAATACAGAAGACAAAGTAATCTACAAAACCAATAAGGAGGAAATGCCTAAAGACTTCTGCAAAACCCAGAGCACCAAAGAAAGCCTTAAGAATTCTAAATATCTAACAGAGACCAGAGCCATAACCTGGCTCCCTCAAGAGATGCAGGAATATAACTCTCACTTAAGAAATATCCATAAAGTGAAGCAACACAGACAATGGCAAGGTTCACAGAATATAAAGACACGAAGCAGCAAATGACTCTACAGATGATCCATCCAGCAATTAGGTCAAACCAGTTAAGTTAAAGGTGGCTAAAAGTGGCCACCACAAGGTGACAGAATCACCGAGAACAGCCAGTTTTCCCATGTAAACAGATCTCGGTCTGGAGCCCAGGAAAACAAACAAGATACACCTGGCAGGGATCAGGAAGCCACCAAGGTTGAGACCAACCTCTCAACCAGAAAGAGGAGTATCATTGCATTCAATGCTGGTTTCAGGAGGGACCAAATGGTGGCTACCTTAGCTAACTAACCATGTAGTAGAAGAAAACCAAGACTTACCACAGCAGAGGAAAGCAAAGATCAAACACCCAAAGAGAAGAGTCCAGGACAGGAACCCAGAGCAAAACAAGCCCAACAGGAATCAGGGGCACTGACCAGGTAATGAGCCACCAGGACCTTGTTAGACCTAAAAAAATCCTAGGCTCAAATCATCCCACAACATGCTAGAAAAACAGCAGTCAGAGCTATAAACATTTGATCAAGGCCTGAAGATAGATGGCAGACTGACTAGATGTAATGATACTGTAAATGACCCAATATTAGCAAGCCTTGGAACAGGGGACCATGGAAACAAGATCAACAAACAATGCATCATCTGAAGCAGTCCGGGTGATGCACAAGTAGTGACGAACAGCTTCAACTGTATACTGTACAGTGGAACCTCGGTTGACGAGTGCCCCTCTTTACAATTTTTTTGGTTAATGAGCTCAATTTCTTCATAAAATTTGACTCGGTATACAAGCTTTGCCTCGCCTGGCGAGTTTGTTGATATACGTATGGGTCGACCGAGCGTGTGGCTCCTGGTGGCATGGGCGATGTGCGCTTCACTTTACCAGTGTCTCCACTTAGTGACAATTGTGCTTGAATATGGTATTTGGGAGGACAACAGGATGGATGGTGGGAAGACTGAATGGATGGATGGTAAGGGGACTGGATGGATGGATGGTGAGGGGAATGGATGGATGGTGAGGGGACTGGATGGATGGATGGTGAGGGGACTGGATGGATGGATGGTGAGGGGACTGGATGGATGGATGGTGAGGGGACTGGATGGATGGATGGTGAGGGGACTGGATGGATGGATGGTGAGGGGACTGGATGGATGGTGGGGGGGAACTGGATAGATGGTTGGGGGGGGGGGAACTGGATGGATGGTCGTGGGGAACTAGATGGATGGTGGGGGAACTGGATGGATGGTGGGGGGGGGGGGAACTGGATGGATGGTTATCTTGAGGTTATCTCGAGATGATTTCGGGGCTTTTTTAGTGTCCCCGCGGCCCGGTCCTCGACCAGGCCTCCACCCCCAGGAAGCAGCCCATGACAGCTGACTAACTCGCAGGTACCTATTTACAGCTAACAGGGGCATCAGGGTGAAAGAAACTGCCCATTGTTTCTTGCCGGCGCCCGGGACCACAGGATCACACGTCCAGTGTTCTGTCCGCTCAGCCGCTGGCTCCCAGGCGGTGGTGGTGGAACTGGATGGATGGATGGTGAGGAAACTGGATGTATGGTGGGGGAACTGGATGGATGGTCAGGGAATCTGCTTTATGGGGTTCTGGGAGTTTTACTCTCCTAACCTGGCCCGAGGCCAGGCTTGACTTATGAGAGTTTGGTCCACAAGGCTATGGCTATTGCTTGGAGCGGCCTGCAGGCCCACAAACCCACCACAGCCCAGTTGGTGTGGCACTCCTTGGAGAAAACTATCTAGTTTTCTCTTGAAGATGTCCACGGTTGTTCCGGCAATATTTCTTATGCTCGCTGGGAGGATGTTGAATAACCGTGGACCTCTGACGTTTATAGTGTTCTCTGATTGTGCCTATGGCACCCCTGCTCTTCACTGGTTCTATTCTGCATTTTCTTCCATATCGTTCACTCCAGTATGTTGTTATTTTACTGTGTAGATTTGGGACCTGGCCCTCCATGTGTATATTATTCGATATCTCTCTCATTATCTTTCTAGTGAGTACATTTGAAGAGCTTTGAGATGATCCCAATAATTTAGGTGCTTTATCGTGACTATGTATGCCGTATATGTTCTCTGTACTCCGAACCCAATGGATAGACCAAATGGAATGGATGGCCCGAATGGATGGCAGGTGAATGGGGGGGGGGGGCACAAGAAAGAAAAATTTTCAGAGAACTCCCGAGCTTAGCAAATAGTCAAATAAAGACAATACAGAGGATGCTATGACAGAAGACAGTTTTGGTAGTATGATAAGTTGCAATGACAAGATACTGGAAGACTTTCAGAGGAACAAGACTGTGTGTTTGCTGAACTGGCAGTCAATATCAAAAGATCTTAAAAGAAAAAGCAATAAAACTGAGAAAAATATACTTCTTTGAAGTAATTTCTACATCAACATGTGCACAGCAGTGTGTTCTATTATTTGTATTGATAAAACAGATGCTAACAATGTGAGGTCTAAAATGGAAATAAATACCAAACATTTTAAGCAACAGAACTTTGGTTGCAACAAAATGGGTTCATTGTAAATTAGTTCACTGTTCAATGTAAATGTACACTGCAGTTGTCATTGGACTACACTACTCAATAATGAAAGTGAGAACAATCTTACTATCTTAAGAATCCTTAAGAAATTTCAAGCCAAAATTATGAGGCATTCAAGATAATGAACATATCAGAGGCAATAAAATACATAATTACATACCTGTAAGCCACACGTATGTTGGGAACATTAGTCCGCTTAATGTCATTACCAGCTACACCTTCACGCGTAAAATTTGGTCCAATCCAAAACTGTTTGATCTAGAACAAAATATAAATAATGTTAAGACATATTTAATAGATTGTATGTGATCATAAATATGTGTTAATCGAGAATGTTATATCAAGATGATAATTTACATACTGATATCAAACATCACCAAACATTTTTCAGTAGAAAAAATTACTGAAGGAAATAGGAAGAAACAAAGCAGTTGGCCCAGATGGAATTTCACTTTGAGCTACAGTAAAATAGAATGCACACCTGAGTATTCCACTTTAATTGACTTTTCAGACATCTTTATGTACAGGAATCTTAGCAGATATATGAAAAAAGGCAAATATAGTTCCAATCTACAAAAATGGTATCGGAGAAAACCCATTAAATTACAGACCTATATAGTTGAAAGTGTGGCAGTCAATACACTAGAAAAATAATTAAAACCAAATTGTTAGAATACTTGGAAACATTTTGGTGGATGCCAAAACCATCATTAATTTCAAAACATCATATGGCAGAGTGCTGGAAAGATGGAATGCAGAAAACAGAGAACAGGCTATACTTAATCTACAAATTTTGCAAAAAAATATTTAAAATTTTTGACAAAGATGAGGGTCCAGAATAGTAAGCTGTCACAGGAGGACCACATGAATGGCACTGTGAAAGGAGCTTATGCTATGGTACCAAATTTCAGAACTGTATTTAAATATCTGGATGGAGAAATATTAAAGAAACTGAGCATGCAATATAAAAGACCAAAACTAAAATACAACAGGGGTGTGGTGACCATAACTCAAAAAGTACAAACAAATTACAAAGTACAAACCAGCATTGAATGTAATGAAACAATTTTCTGGGTGAGCCCCGGAGGCTCCCCGGAGCTTACCAGGCTGATATGTATGTATTAGACCATGGCATCAGTTGATGGAGTTCTTGCCTACCAGGAACCACGAGCCAGAATCTGACCCCCCTCATAAAGGCACGAGGAGCAATGGCCTATGGAAACCCTTATGTGTTTGGAAGCATTCCATATCTACCATTGACCAGAGTTTGATACCCAGAAAGGTAGGCATAACAAAACAAACCCCACATGGTAAAAATTGATACCTAAAACCGAACAGGGAGACAGAACTCCCAAACATGCACACGTCACTAATGCTGTCGGGCCGATCGTCCACGCAGCCTCAGACTCCCCCTGTGCCGGCCGTTATAGCATTCAGTTCTGAGGCCAAGCATCAAAAAGAATGCAAAAAACTCCCGACCGGAGGGAGGGAGGGTGCCGAGGAGCCTCCAGGGCTCACCCAGAAAATGTTGTTTCATTATTACTCATTATTAGTACGAGTCATTAGTACTAATGACTAGATGGAGTACAAGAACTCCATCGACTGATGCCATGGTCTAATAAGCCATAATTGTTCATGGTAAGCTCCGGGAAGCCATAGGGGCTCCCCACAGAAACATGCTACTACATGACTTAAGAACAAAAGCTATGAAAGTTATTTTTTGAAGAGTTGAAGAAAATTTGAACACATTAGTGAAAAGGTGGTGGATGCCAAAACTACAGGTACTGTAATTTCAAAGCATTATATGACAAACATTATTGGGAAGACAGAACATGCCAAGCAAAGCTCTCATCCTGTAACAACACAGGCAATTACACACACTAATACATCTATGAATAGGGTCTAACTTACAAATATGTTATGTGAAATAAAGTGCCCTTTCTTGAGCAGGACCTGGGTAGCTCCCCATTCCCTCCTTTTATTTCTTACTCAAGTTATTTCTTGGTGGCTAGTTTGAGCAGTGAGGGTTTGCCTTTTCAGTGACCCATATGCCCAGTAGTACTGCCATCAACAATCATATCATTATTAAATGTCAAGTACTGTTTGAAGATAATTTTGGGTGATTTGAAGGAACTGTGTGTGAGCATATTGAACAGTTCATTTGCAGTGGATTGAGGAATGCTTTCCACTCAGCCCCCTGTACTTTGATGTAAGGTGGTAAGACAAGCTGAATAGGTTCTGGTCATTATCAGGAATAATGCAAGTCAGAGCCTAATGGAATGTCAGTGTTTATGAAAACCAATGGCATGTAGCATAGTGTGGTTACCAAAATGCCACTCAGAAAGGGGCTTTTCATTTCACTTGATGCTATATTTATAAGCAATGCCTCTTCAGCATTGAAGAGGCATTCTCCTATGCCTTCTTCTCATTATGCCAAGAGAAACTACACAATGCCTGCCCAGCCCATGAAATATATTGATTAATAATAATATATCCTAATATCACTACTGGGAATAAATATCTAAATGAGAAAATATTACATATCCCATTTTGTGGAACATCTCCAGGCATACCAGAATCTCAAAGTATACTTGGAGCATACCTGGAGAGGGTTTCGGGAGTTCTTCTACTCCCAGAGCCCAGTCTGGGGCCAGGCTTGAAGTATTTATAACAAAATAAACAACACAATAAAAAAAAAAAGTCTTCAGAAAATCCATCAAACAGCAACACATGCATCTCATGCTTTTTTACTTTTTTATATTACATAAAAAAATTAAAGCAAAATTTGCATAATTTTTACCTCATGATCAAACCCACTCATGATAACAGAGTTTCTAGCCAATTCACACATGTCTGTTTGGGACAGCTTCCACACTTGAGTTGCAATAGAATATTCTTCCATGAGGGGTTCCTTAGTAAAGTGGAACTGGAGAGGGTCATCAGTGGATAAAGATATCAGGAGCCCTCGTGCCAAGTACTCTGGTAAAGGGTTGCGATGGTAATTCAGGAAGAGAGAGTTGTTGGAGAGTGGTGACATGGCTATACCAATCTGTAAAGATGCAATATAAACATTAATTTGGAAAATCAAATTTCTAGCATTATACATGTATAATAAAAAAATGTACAGTATTAAAATAAGGCAGGGAGATAATTGAGAACTATTTACCATACCACATATTGTATGACCTAGCTTATTCGGATTCCACTTAACTGGATATTTGGGTTATCCGGCCAAAATCGCATCCAGATAATTTTCTGGCAAACATTTTGCAATATCTGGATAGAAATCTGGATAACTGGAGGATAAGTTACATCAATTTTCAACGACACATTTCAAGATGTGTTGTATCAAACAATAACACAAACTACAACAAGATAAGCTAAACTTTCTCTTTTAAATATATATTTTTAATTTATAGTGTGTGTGGAAACTCAAATTACTGTATGTTGGTTGTGATACAAAAAATTGAAAATATGGTTAATTTAGGACTTCCCCTGTGAGAATTCAGCTTATCTGGTGAGGTGTCCTTCCCATATAGTCCAGATAAGCAAGCTTAGACAGTACTCTCTTACACCACACCATTTTCCTACACAAACTAAATGGGTAGAACACCTGGGAAAAATTATATAATAACACACAGACAGTATGGTCGTTGATCTGGAAGATTCTGTGTAACGAATTTACCCAGTTTCTATAGTAGAGAGACAGAGATTTCACAGGAAAGAGATGGTTGGGTTGACGGCCTATATCTAGACCTAAAAGAGGCTTTTGACAGAGTTTCACTTAAAGAGATTATTCTGGAAACTGGAACATACTGGAGAAGTGACAGGGAAGCTTAACATGGATGACAAATTTTCTGACAGAAAAATGAGGGCAGTAATCAGAGGCAATGTGTCGGACATGAGAAATGTCTTGAGTGGAGTACCACAGAGTTCAGTTCCTGCACCGGTAATGTTCATTGTCTACATAAACAACAACCAGAAGAAATACCGAATTATATGAACATGTTTACTGATGATGCTAAGATACTAAGGAAGATAAGAAACTTAGACAATTGTCATGCCCTTCAAGAAGACCTGAATAAAATAAGTGTACGGAGCACCACTTGGATGGAATATAATGTGAATAAATGCCATGTTATGGAATGTGAAATAGGAGAAAATAGACCACACACACAACCTATAAATTATGTGAAAAAGCTTTAAAAATTAAGATAAAGTGATCAAAGGATGGTTCTAAATAGGAAACTATCACCTGAAGACCCTATAAAGAACATTGTGTGAGGAGCCAATGTTACTCTTTCCAATTTCAGAATTGCTTATAAATACATGGATGGAGAAATACTAAAGAAATTGTTCATGACCTTTGTGAGACCAAAGATGGAATATGCAGTGGTTGTATTGTGCCCATATCTTAAGAAGCACATTAACAAACTGGAAAAGGTGCAAAGACATGCAATGAAATGGCTTCTGGAACTGAAAGACAAGAGCTATGAGGAGAGGTCAGAGGCATTAAATATGCCAAAACTAGAAGATTTAAGAAAAAGAGGTAACATGATCACTGCTTACAAAATAGTAATGTGAATCAATAAAATTGGTAAAGAAGAATTTCTGAGACTTGGAACTTCAAGAATAAGAGGTCATAGATTTAGGCTAACTAAACAAACCTGCCAATGAAATATAAGAAAATTCCCTTTCACAAACAGAGTGATAGACGGTTGGAACAAGTGAGGTGGTGGAGGCCAAAACCATCAGTAGTTTCAAAACGTTATATGATAATGTTAGGAAGACTGGACACCATGAGCATAGCTCTCATCCTGTAACTACACTGAGCTAATTACCACACACATACACCATACACCACACCAGACACCCATTACTTGTTTCTAATTACAGTATATAATCACATACTGTAATTATCTTATTATTTTCAAAATATGACTACTTGCATCAGCAAACTCATCTTTCTATCCTGTAAGCCTGTAATATAAGCATTTTCAGGTTTACCAATTGTGGGCAACTCTGAAATATATTCCTCCCCCAAATAGCAAGGACCTGCTCTACTCTTTTTCATAACTCACTTGAGCCAAGTAGTAGAGGAATTGCAAGACTGGAACTTTACGTAGAAGTAGACCATGGGAGATATTTTCAGCCAGCAGAAAGCCAGTTACCAAGTGCTGGATTGAACCAGCCTCACCACAGTGGGGTCGCAACACAAACGTGTTCATTCCACGCTCTAACCTCAATTGGTTTAATGTGCAAATATTGGCATACCTAAAATGAAAATTATTATTTATTTATTTTATTTTTTTATAGGGAAGGGAGTAAAGTTGATATGTCATTTAGAGTACATTATGTTTAACAATGGATGTGTGATATAGAAATGAGTATGTGAACTATAATTCCATTTGTATTTATTCATGTAATCAATTTTTATTTACAGTATAACTCAAAATTTATGTGAAAATTACTTCCCAATCCAATAAAATAATTGGTAGAAACCAGACTCTTACATATAATACAGGTAGTAAGCATAAGGTGGATTTTCCATATTTGACCACAACTGTGGAGGCGGAGTGTCCTTGTCCATTACTGACATTTCTGGCTTGCTCTCATCGTCCACACTATCAAACCCAATCACATACCTGGGCAAGAATATAAAGGAATACAATTATATGCCAGTTAACTAAATAGTCAGAGCATATACAGTGGAAGCCCATTTAAATTATAACATACAGTATCAAGATCCTTCACATAAAAATTAAAAAACTGTAAATTCAAAAATAATTACTAATCCTATTTAATCCCAAAGTTCTATTAATACAATATAAATGAACAATCAAAGCATCAGCATACCGAGTGTCCAGCCCATCCTCCTGTTTTGGTAGTACTTACAGTAACGATGAGAACCATGGTATACATACTGACGTACAACGAAATTAGAAAGTAGAAACCTGAACTACAGTGGCACCTCGACTTACGATTGCCCCGACTTATGATAATTTCGAGTTACGATATAAATTTGATCGGTAAAATGCGACTTGACTTATGATAGCGTCGTCAACTAACAATATTTGTTGATACATGTTCAGGTCGACCGAGCGAATGGTTCCCGGTTGCGCGGGCCGACTTGCCTCAGTTTACCGGAGCTGCCCGCTTAGTGACGATCATGCTTATAAGAAATTCTATTTTTATGGTGATTTTTTGCTTTTTGAACATAAGACTGATTATTATATATCACACCATGGGTCCCAATAAAGTCAGTGGTAAAGTTCAACATATGAAAACACATGTAAGGATGACCATAGAGGCAATACGGAATATCCCTTGTTCAAAAATTCAGAAAATGTGTGCAGCATGGGAAGAACTGTAAACTTTTGCTGAAACGACTCACCCAAATCAAGCTGCAGTAGGCTGTTGCCTCAACTTTTTCAATGACACTGATGCATCATTACAGACAAATGTTAAAACGAAGGGAATAACAAGTGTCGCTAGACAAATTTTTAGTGAGACAAACTAGCAGTGAACCACAACCAGGTCCTAGTGGTATGCAGGCAAAATGCAGGAGAAAGTGTACCCCAGAGAAATCATCACTGCCAGATGTTATAATGGAAGGGGACTCCCCTTCCAAACAGTAACACCTCTTCTCCTCCCCCTCCTCACCATCTTCTATATGCCAACAGGATTCATTAGTAAATGTAAGTAATAACTTGTACATACTTTTGTAGTGAAGATCTGGGTGAATTAGGTATCAAATTTACTTTGAAGATCATGTTTTGGGGAGTCAGGAACGGATTAATTCATTTCCCTTTATTTCTTATGGGAAAAATCGTTTCGACTTACGATACGTCTCTGGGAACAGATTACCATCATAAATTGAGGCCCCACTGTATTCAGTTGGACAAACTGGAAAACAGTTTTTACTTCTGTTGCTTTTGACAAACTAAACAAACGTATCCTAACCTCTGTAGACCTGATACACAATATCAGAGGCCTAACATAGTACATATGTGTGCTAAACATACTAGGCCAAGGAATATTTATGTTTGTGTTTTAGCTTCATTTATGTTAAAAGAATTCCTTACAAGTCAGTACATGACTAAAGCTAAAACCTAAAAACTTAAGAATTCTGACTATTGATGATCGTCGCAATAGGTACTATCTAAACAGGAGGATGGGTTGGAGTGTCAGGCTGGGCAGGCTCTGTTGTTGTTATCCTTAGACACACGCCATATGACATATCTCATGAAGTTTTCCCCTCACCTCTACCATACCTTCGTTATGTTGGTCAGTCAGGTCATCTGTCTCAGTTTCTTTCTCTCTCTCCTTTTCTTTCTCTCTTTCTCTCTCTCTCTCCTTTTCTTTCTCTCTTTCTCTCTCTCTCCTTTTCTTTCTCTCTTTCTCTCTCTCTCTCTCTCTCTCTCTCTCTGTCTATAGGTATATGCAGTAAGTATGTATGTATGTACTGTATGTACAATACTGGTATGTCTGCTACGTAATGTCTAACTTTAATTTATATTTACTTTAGCTTTTTATTTTTAAATGTCAGTTGGTTTATTCAAATTATATTAGAATGTATGTAATTATTTTAGTGCTGTTAAAGGATGAGAGCTACCCTCATGGTGTCCCATCTTCCCAGTACACTGTCATATGATACTTTGAAACTACTGATCGTTTTGGCAGCCACCACCTTCTCACTCAACTTGTTTCAACTATCTAAAACTCTGTTTGCTAAAGAAAACTTTCTAATATTTCTTGGCACCTTTGTTTCCTTTGGCATGTATCTATGACCTCATGTTCTTCAAGTTGCAAGTGTCAAGATTTTCTCTTTGTAAATTTAGTTGACACCTGTTAATTTTCAAAGTCTCAGACATCAGCATGATGACTCTTGAGCCAAGCAGTGTTCCAATCCTGATACCTGAGATATCAAGGCATCATCCCAAAGACAAGGATCAGAACAAAGCATCTGATCTACTCTTTGTTCAAGGATCAGAACAAAGCATCCTTCTACTCTTGCAAAGTAGAAGGCCCCAAATCCCTGACAGGGAAAGACATCTCAACTGATCTCAGTGGCAAAATGGATGGGGCAGCACCCAGAGATGGGCCAAGCTACATCTAAAACTAAACTCCTGACTGGACTCTAAAACCTGCAGATGTGTTGGAACCTAAACATGGGAGGAAAAGATCACACATTGGACAAACCACACCAGCAGAGGAAGGAGGAGGAGCAAATTCGGAGCAGGTGGAGTTTACCAACCCTTCCAGCATCCCTTACTTGGATCTCTGAAGACCAAAGGGGCCAACTTTGGGGTATCCATTTGAACATCAAGCCATGAGCCACGAATGTGAGAAATGCGAGCCTTCAAGGCAGCTGCTGCCTAATAAGTCTCCTGTCTTGAGATAAACGCAGATAAAACAGAGACCCAATGAGCACAAATACCACAGGACTCAGGGTCGGAGGTGTCACCAACCCAGCAGGTAGCATGGCAGAAACAGAAAGAATGATCGTCGGCATGTTGCAAAGCCGACGAGCACCTTCAAACTTGCATGTAGCAAGAGCAGGCCCAATGGGTCAATCCACTGCAAGCCACAACGCAGATGTTGAGGGGGAGATACCAGGGACTGAAGGTGACTAACCAAGCATAATTCCCAAACACTATAGACATTTTCTGGAAGAGTCAACAACTTGTGCAGTGCTGGATTTAACGTTATTGGGCCATACACCAAAACAGTTAAAAAGGCCCCACCCTCTAGTCAGTGTGGATATTCAAAGGCTAAACACATACATGCAGACACCTGGTGGGCCCTAGGCCATATTCTACTTGACCTATTGGGTAATTCAGCCCTGAACTCTTGCATTACCCCTGGGTGAGGTTCTCCACCACAGCACCCAGGTCTCTTAAGGGCAAACTGAACACCCCAGAGAAGTCACTGTCAGTGGAGGGGCAATGCTAAACGAGTGCTTAGGGAAGGGCTACCCTAAACACATGCAGCTCATAGTGAATATGCAGACCAAGTCCACGCAAAAAGTGAGGATTGTCAAATCCTCACGTGTCACACACACGTGAATAAAATCCGCGTGCCACACACACGTGAATAAATTACTAAAAGTTAGAAACACACAAGCAAATGGCTCACAGGATGAAGTTCAAAGGAAGGCTGTCACTTATCTGAGGAAAGAAGTGGGATTTGCCCATGGCCAGCAACTTGGGAAGGTTTAATCACTTAGATATTAGCCACAGGACTGGCTAATAGCCATGGAGGAAGTTCGGAGCTCCTGGGGTGCCACTTGATGATGGCAATTTGTACTAGGGGGTTCAAGCTAGTTTAAAGTAAACCAATTAGTTTAGAATGAATTACACACAGTGATCATACTAACGTGATGCATCAAATGAACAAATTCACAAAGGCCGTGACAAGGCTATGGGATCCAGTAAGTTCAGTAGAACTTCGGTTTCAACTCTTTTTAACCCTGTCGTAGCTCAGTCGATTAAGGCAGTGTCTGGGATGCTCCCGGATGCAGGTTCGAATCCTCGTCACGGCCTTTGTGGATTTGTTCATTAGAATGAATTATTTGTGGAGTCGTTTGGCTGTTTCAGTGCTTTGTTTTCCATGAACCTTACAGTTGTCTGTATTGCTTTGTTTATTTTCTGGATACTTTATCATTGTGGGTAATTGTAAAAATCCCCAGCTCTGCGCCTCTATGCAGGGTCCAGTTTCTGGCTCTGACCCCCCAGTAGATTAAACAGGATTCTTATGGCTGATATGACTCAGTAGTGCCAGGAAGCCATCAAGAGGCTCATCCAGATGATACTTACAAAAATTATGCCATATAAATTTTAAAAGTATTATTGATACATATTACCCTGTACAATGATTTAAAAGGAAATTACTAAAAATAGAAAAACTTTAAGTATTACCCCATATATCTTTACATTTTTCTCAAAACTCTGAATTGGGTAGCTGGTATAGAGTGGCAATTTATCATAGATGATTTGCAGGAGTATTATAGCGGTGCCATTAGCAGTGAATAAGATATGATGAATTAACAAGTTAATTTTTATTTAGTTTTTCAATAGCATCTTTTTTTGCAAAATACTGTTTCTTATTTTTTTATTCTCTGGCCTGATGTCTCCCCACACGAAGAATGTGGCAGGACAATGATAATAACAATGATGATTATATAATTTGTGTGGGTGGGCCAGTGAACTGCAAGGCTAAATACAATACTACATATGGCAATACCACAGACATATCCGGATGTAGATGATCTAAAAAGTTAATGAATATAGAGCCAGACATACAACTGCACATATAAGAATAATGTATGTTCAGAGATACGTACTGTAAGAAGGCATGAAGCTCAGGATGGCTACTGGGGTTCACAGAGACCTCAAATAATGGACGGAACAGGTTATCGAGTATGACACTAAAATTATCAATTATATTGTTGCTCTTGTAGATGTCACTGAAAAAAATATATATAAATAAATATATATATAGATACTGTATAACTGAATACCACATGATCAAAATTAAATATAAGATTGCTCAAGAGCTTTGTGCAGAATTTTATCCATTAGCAATTGCTTCCAAGATCCATCAAATATATAAAATATCCAAAAAACCACCATTGAATGTAATGAAACGCCATTTTCTGGGTGAGCCCCAGAAGCTCCCTGGAGCTATTCAGCTGATATATGCTTTATTAGTATTGGGCATCAGTCAATGGAGTTCAGCCTATCTGGGACCACGAGCCAGAACCTGGCCCCCTCAGAGAGGCACAGGGAGCAAGGGCCTATGGAAACCCATATGTGTTTGAGAGCATTTCATGTCTGCCATCGACCGGGGTTAGGCACCCAGAAAGGTAGGCATAATAAAACAGACATCTCTTGGTAAGAAATTGCAACTGAAGACCGAACAAAGGGGCAGAACTCCCCAAAACCTAAAGAAACAAGCAAACATCATACACCATTGCCACGCAGTTTGTCCGCGCAGCCCTTCCCTTCCTGAGAGTGGGAGGAGGTAGCCCGGACCTCCCCGGCATCGGAAACTTACACCTCAGTTCAGAGGTTAAGCATCAAAAAACAAAACTGCCTACCGGAGGGAGGGTTGGTGACAGGGAGCTTCCATGGCTCACCTAGGAAATGGCATTTCATTACATTCAATGCTGGTTTTCTGTGGGGAGCCCCTCTGGCTCTCTAGAGCTACCGAACCAAAGACAAGTAAAAGAGAGACTTACCCGGAAGGAGGCCGCCAAGCACACATCAACTCAACGTCGAAACAACTGGCTGCAACCTCTGACCCAAAGCCATACACGAACGTCTGTGACCAGGAATATTGACCAGATAACGGGCGACTGGGACCCTGTTCAACCTCCAAAACCTCAGTGCCCGAATGTTAGCCAAGACCTGTTGCTGAACACTGCAGCCAAAGCAGCAAACTTACGAACATCATGGGTACGAAGGAAGACCCCAGGCTGGCTAGACTTAATAACCCTGAGGACGACCTGGGAGACCCGAGCCCTGGAACAGGGAACGAGGGAAACCGGATTACCCCAAAGCGCATCCCCGGCCACAGAACTCCGATGCACGCAGATAATGGCAAAGAGCCGCAACCAGACATAACACATGATGCACCCCCGGCCTGACCAACCAAGCATCAGTGACAAAAGGGCCCCTCCAGAGGGCCACCGTCTCATTCTTCGCCAGAAAAGGGGGGAGACGGCTGCAACCAAATAAACCGACCACCAGGAACGAAAGAGAAGAAATCCCTGCGCTGGAGGACAGCATGAAGCTCACCAACCCAACCCCCAGAGGCCAATGCCAACAGAAAAAGTCATGGAAGAACAATCTGGAACTGAAGGAGCCATCACAAAATGAGGAGAAGAGAGAAAAAGAGAGAACCCGGTCCAAGGACCAGGACGGCTCAGACGGCGCATGAGCAGGCTAGAGGTGAAATAAAGCATGAGAACACTTGTGAAACAGGGCCAAAGTGACATCCAAGTCGGACACAAGCTGCGGATGCCCATTTGATTGGGCATCAAATGACGGTCCTGAAAAAGCCATGAAAGAACGGACAAAACAATCCAATCGGAAATAGAAGATAACCTACAAAGACAGAGAAAATGGCAAAGTGGAAACTTCATAATGTCACCAAGACGAAGCTCATAGGTGGGACACCATCAACGAAGCCACCTAATAGGTGTATCAGGTGGCTTCGGTGTATCACCATACAAGTGGTGATACACCTGTGTCAAAAAGACCAGACGTGTAGAGCGGAGGAATAGACCGAACCAGCCATGTTCCGGACCGGTCCGATCTGCTGAAAGAGGCAGAGCCGCAGAAAACGCTCCAGGTCCGAACACCGAGCAAGCAACACCTGAAACCAAGGCTGGGCTGGACACCAAGGGGCCACCAGGACGACTCTCCCACGGTAAGACTCCAAAAGAGCAAGAACCCGAAGCAACAGCTGGACCGGGGTAAAAAGGTGTTGACAACCAAAAGATAAAGGTACAGGTAACCTGTACCTGTACCTCCTCCTAGGTACTGTACAGGTAACTCAACCTCAAACAGTCCTGCCAAAAGGTGTCCACCGCAAAGGCTCCACAGTCAGGGAAGGGCGCCACATGTATCGGGAGACACCGAAACCACGCCTATGTGAAGAGGTCCACCTTTGGGAGCCAGTACGTCCAGCAGAGCCAACTGAAGGAGTTGGCGTCGACCGTCCATTTTGTAGACAAGGGAATGAACTGAGACAGGCCGTCCACCAGAACGCTGAACACTCCCAGATATGAACCGCACGGAGAGCCAAACCCCGAGAATCCAGGAGATGAGTCACTCGAAGCGACCAGCCCCAAAGAGCCAAGGACCGAAGAGCTAGAAAATGGTGTTTCATTACATTCAATGCTTTTTTTTTTTTACTGCCACTCCCCCTTTCAATTGTGCAACTTTCAGTGAATGATGGATTCAGACCCCAAGGTTATTTTCTTCATCAATCTGCTTCAAGGTAATGTTTTGATATTAAAAAGCATTTGCCAGTCTTCTGACCATTTGTGGAATTTTCTTTCTAAAGCATCGATATCATTTTCACTTCTCAATTTACTATAAATCCTAAGTGTCATCTGCAAATTTGATTGTGTGCTTTGTAACATTCTTATCTATGTCAGTGATGTATATAACAAAAAGGGTTGGCACCAAAATGGACCCTTGCAGTACCCCCACTCTCCACATTTCTCCAGTCAGATTCCTTCCCGTTTAGCATGACCCTTTGTTTTCTTTATTTTAACCATTGTTTTATCCATTCTAGTATTCTACCATTCATTCCATGTGCCTGTAATTTCCTTGCTAGTCTTTCCATGTTGTACCTTATCAAAAGCTTCAGCAAAGTCCATGTAAACTACATCTACCAGGAGCCCTTTGTTTGAATAGCTAGTTACCATTTCCAAAAAATGTGAGCGGGTTTGTAAGGCAGGGTCTATTTTTAACAAACCCAGGTTGTGTTGATCTCATAAGATTGTTCACTATGGGATGGAGAATGATTCTCTCCCTTACAATGCTCTCCATGAGCTTGCAGATGTGTAATGTTAAGCTGATCAGACAGAAGTTTTCTGCCAATCTTTTTCTACCTTTTTTGAAAATAGAGGTGACATTTGCATATTTCCAATTTATGGGGAACTATCCCTTGGTCCCGAGATTCTCTGAAAAGGAATTTCAGTGCAGTCATAGTGCATCTGTCAGTTCCTTTACGACTTTGGATTGAATTCCATCCACACATGAGGCTTTTGAGTCTTTTAGTTTCTCAATAATTTTCCTGATTATGTCAAACATTATAGGTATATTCCTTAATTCATTCCCTTCATCTCCTTCCAACTTTTGAGTAGGTAATAGAATGTTGTCTAATCATTCTGTGCGAAGACTGGTGTAAAATATTAATTAAAAGTGTTTGCTGGCCTTTTATCATCCATTATAACTTGGCTAGTCTCATCTTTTTAAGGCTCCTACCTAGTCCTTTGTTTTGGTTTTATTTCTTACATAGGCATGAACGACTTTTAACCTTTCTTTATGGTTGGGGCAAGTTTTCTTTAGTAGTTTCTTTTGGCTGATCTGATTTCCTAGGTGGCTGAATTTAATGCCTTTTTATATATCTCATAATCTATGATGTTCATTGTGGATTTATACCTTCTCCAGAGGTTCTGCTTAGTTATTAAAGCTCTTTTTACTACTTGTGTCATCCATCTAGTTCCATTTTTTTCTTTCTCCTTTTATGGCACATATTTTTGAATGAGTTCAGTATTGACCTTCTTTAAATTTCCCTTGATGCTTTCATCCCATGGTCACCTATAAGCTCCCTCCAGGTGTTGTTTTGCAATTCCTCTCTCATTCCTTGATAGTCTCCTTGAGGGTAATCTAGAAAGCCATCATCCTGGATCTTTACGTGGGTTTCTATAATTGTAATCCATCTTAAAATATTGTGATCACATGATGGGATGAGCTTTTCCTATACTGTACCTGAATTTGATCATGCCCTCTTCCAATGTTAGCGCAAGAGCTAGAATATCGTTATCTCGGGTGAGCTCTGTCACACGCTGTACGGGAAAGGAATCCTGTACCAGCTCAAGAATTTGTTCTTCCGCTTGTGATGTTAGATTTACCCAATCTATTGTCTTATAGTTAAGTATTGTTTGAGAGAGTTCTTTTGGGCAGTTTTTGAGGCTGCAGTCTAGCTTATAACCAGCTCTGGTCTGTTTTGGTTCCATGATTTTCTTGGAGCTTCCCAGTAGCAGACATGAATAAATTTCATAATAATTTTATCATATTACCACAACTCCTTGCACTTTTTTGAGGGAGCCAGGTTCTGGCTCATGGTCCCCAGTAGGCCTAAAAAAATTCAGAGACTGATGCCTCCTAGGAATTTGACACACTATCAATGATAGTAGCTTTAAGGAACTACAAGGGCTTCCACCAGAAAATATGCCCAAATGCATTTTAGTAAGAAAATTGAATTTGGTACATACAATACTGTATATCTAAGATAAAAATAAATCAAACTACAGATTACAGTACATTACAATGACTAAAATTTCTGGCTTGATACTCACTAAAGTCGTGGCACTTGTATTAGCCAGCGCACATTTTCTGAGTGCACATTGTGTATCACTGCCCAGTGGGCAAGTTTGTCCCATTCATCCGCTGACTTTCCATATACTGAAAGTCGTAATTCTGCATTTTGGTATTTGCCTTCCTCTAGGTCAAACATTACTTCCTAAAAAAAAAAATAAAAAAAATTACTTCCTAAAAATAAAAGAACAGCATTTAAAGAATAACGAAAAAATAATTAAAACATTTTGTTTTGTTTGGTGAACGCATTTTCAGCTGTGGAATGCATTAGGTTTACATCCATACAATCAGTGATCTTTTGCCACACTAAAGTTTTTGTGCCTGCCGTTATTATTGTTAACTGACTGACCATACAAGTTTTTGTCTGCTCAAATCTGTAGCAGTGTTTCTGGTTGGTCATCTTTCATTATTTCATCTATCTAATACAGGTGTTGGGGAGTGGATGCTAGTGAGGGTGCTGGGAATGGTTGTGGATTTCAGCTTGAACGTTGTTATGTGCATGGTTGTAGGTAGTTATGCATGTGCTTATAAGTGAACAAATCCACAAGGGCCGTGATGAGGATTCAAACCTACGTCCGAGAGGATCCCAAACACTCCTTAATCGACTGTGCCATGACACAGTTTGTGGATGTGTTCATTTGATGCATCACACTATTGTGATTTCTGTGTGCTTGTAAGTGTTGCCATGAGGGTGTTGGGAGTTGACATGGGAGAATCTCATATACTGCTATGCTATTATCATAACAGTCAACGAGTAAAAGGTTTTCATTTACTGAATATTTGGTTAACAAATACTTTTCAGGGAATGCATCTCATTTGTTAAGAGAGGTTTGCTTTTGTACAGAAACGGTTCAAATCTTTATAAGGTCGCACTGGAGTTGTAAGACCTTTTATTAAGTGAAGTTTTATATGAACTCACCTTTATTATGTGGCCAAAATATCTTCCATCAATGTAATTGTCTGTTTTTAGGAAGACCTCACGTAGCCGAGACTCTCCAACAGGGTTGTATTTAGCATTAAACTTGTCAAACCTGAAAGTTATTTTATATTATTTTCATATGCAGGCAATTTTTCATATGAGTCACAATAACATGGCTGAAGAATGTTGACCAGACCACACACTAGAAAGTGAAGGGACGACGACGTTTCAGTCCGTCCTGGGCCATTCTCAAGTCGATTTGAGACCAATCGACTTGAGAATGGTCTAGGACGGACCGAAACGTCGTCGTCTCTTCACCTTCTAGTGTGTGGTCTGGTCAACATTATTTTCATGTCCCCCTGGTTGTCTACATTGTCTACACTGATCTCTTATGTTTATTGAGACATTATATCTATTACTTACTATGTCAACATAAAAAACACCAGCAGTGAATGAAATTAAATGATTCTTTCTGGATGAGTCCCAGTGGCTATCTGAAGCTATCTTGCCAAGGTTGCTACAGGTAAATGGGTCACAACAGGTGCAGGAGTTTTATTTGCCTACTGGGCCAAAACCTGCACCCCTCACAGAGGCACAGAGAGTAAGTGACAATTTGCCACCACACCGGGAAAAGAATCCATAAAGTCGGTAAAGCTTTACAGACAACTAAAGGGTTAACAAAGACAAAAGCCTCAAAAAGGCTCAGCAAACAATTCACACAGAACAAGAGAAACATTAAAAATTAGCATGAAGCTCATAGTACAGAGTGCCACCACCAGGCAGTTCAGCTTTTGCACATAGCCCCCCTTCCTTGCTATATCTGGAGCTGATGATCAGTACACCAATGAACTGACTAACCTGGAAAGAAGGGAGGGAATCAGGAAGCCACTACAGCTCATCCAAAAAGAGGTATTTCATTATATTCTACACTTGGATTCTTGGGAAGCCCCTTAGGCTTCCTGAGGCTAAGCACAGAACAAAAATTGGATTTACCAGGGAGGAGAAGAGACAACATGCACTAGAACAAAGAAGATAATCCAGGCCAGGAGAGACAGCCCAAGGCAACATAAGACTGACTGGCACCAGGATCATTAACCAAAATACTGCCAGGACTCTGTTCGAACACCAAAAACCCCTAAGCCCGAATATCAGCCCAGGGCATGTTGAAAAACACTGCAGCCAATGCAGTGTCTGGAATCTGTTGGAGCTGAATGTGACAAGGCTGTTGAGCCTGACAGAATCTCGCCATGGTACAGAAAAGAGAGTGCAGAAGCACTAAGTGTGCCACTCTTTATGGTGTATAACAGGTCACTGGAAACAGTAGACCTATCGGAAAGCTGGAAGACAGCTAATGTTGTCCCAATATACGCAAATCTGGGTGGAAAAATTTGCCGTTTTCAGAGAGACGTGCCTGTATTTAGGATATTTCTGCACTGTCTTAGGTGTTTATATTTACATGTTCTTTTACTTCTTTCTGATAGCCTATACTTACATACACCTCATGTATAATATTGGCAGTAGTTTCCAGGTTCATGCTATGTTGTATTTCATTATTTTGGTTTAATCGTAATGCACCCCGTGTCGGCTGTTTGCTGAAAGACTTAGGTCGAGGTGTTACAGATTCTTGTTGTTGCTCGGTCACTTCCTTAACTGCTTCTAATATTCCTTTTTATTTGGCCTTTTGTGCATCAGCTGCATATCCTTCTTGCACTTTCCTATATCCTGTGTATTCTTCTCCATTTTTCCTGAGGAAAGCTCTTTTCCCCGTTGAATTTCTTGCCTAACTTATTGTATTAAGTAACATCTAGATTTGATTCAACTTCAGGAGCTATTTTTAATCCCCGAAATTAGCAGTTCCTGTGGCCAAATTAGCAGCAGAAAGAGCAGTCCCCATGGCCAAATTAGCAGCAGAAAGAGCAGAAAGTAGTAACACACTCGCCTAGCATTTCGTGAGCGCTTTGAGCTGGGTTTGTATCCTGGCTGGGGAGGATTGACCAGGTGCCAATCCTTAACTGTAGCCTCTGTTCACCCAGCAGTGAATGGGTGCCTGGTTGTTAAACGATTCGGCAGGTCATATCCTGGGAAAAATTAGGATTAAGGATTTGCCCAAAACACTATGCGTGCTAGTGGCTGTACAAGAATGTAAAACTTTTTTATATAAAAATAAATAAATAAAAAAAATAAAAGACAATCCATTGTTTTCTATTCCATTCGTTTATTTGTAAAACTAGAAACTAGTTTAAACAGATATGAAACGACCATCTCCTCAATAGGACTCAAACGCAGGACCCAGGAATTGCTAGGCCAGAAAGACAACGGCTTTCCCAACCCACATCCAGAATACAGAACTCGGATAACCAAATACAGGATCTAAAACCACCAAGAAATAACCCAAAATTTATAACTCAACTGAAAACATAATGACAAATGTCTTCAACCAATTCCTTATTTCCTAAAGTCCCCAGTAATGAATAAAATTTGCATACATCTAGTATTAACAATATTGGTACTGTATTCTTAGGTCTTCCTCCCCCATTACTGATATTACTTTTATCTGTCCTCTGTGTCTCTGGGACTTCATCTCTGACTACCTATACCTAACTTTTTAATTATTATATTACTATTAAATTAAACTGCTGTACCATTAAAATATTTAAAAAATCTGCTTAATCAAGTAGATTAAGGAGTAGATGAATGAGGAGTAGAGGTATGTGTGTAAGTATATAGATATATAGACAAGAATTTACAAAACATATGGATGCCAAATCCCACACACTCAACTCCCCAGCTTCACTTACAAGATAAACATCACAATATAAAATGACATACCTGTGGAATGTGTTCCTGTCAGCATGAACATCTAGCATGTCAACAGATAGATCATAGGCTGTGAGATTCATTGAGGCAAACACCTGTGCCAAACTCATCTTCACTCCCTTATTGCAACAAACAATCTCGTCTGGATGATTCTTGACGGCTTTCTTTATGAATCGAAGCAAATGCTTTTGGTTCATGCATGAGGCAGCATGAATGTGAGTGTCAACCTGGTCGCATGAAAGTAAAAGTTAAATTACATTAAGATCTCTATTATACATTTTAGTAATATAGCACACAAAATATATAGAATACTGTATATTCTACTGTTTATGTAGTAAGAGCCACTGTGACTATAAAACATACTTTTAATAATTTCACATACAGTACTCTTAAAATGACATAAGAATATTATGATGTTTGTCCTTTGGAGTCAAAGATGACCATGACTTCAATATAACAGGTCGAACGTTAGTGGCTGTGTGACAGCCACTGCTGGAATATACAGTGGTTGTATGGTGCCCATATCTTAAGCAGCACTTTGAAGAAAAAGCACAAAGTCCAGGTCTTTGAGGGTCACCTTGAGGCAGTCCTTGAATCCTTTCTTCTGCCCCCCAACTGAACCCGTGCTCTGACATAATTCTCCATACACCAGCTGTTTTGGCAATTGTCTGTCAGGCATTCTGACAACACGGCCTGCCCATCCAGCCTGAGTTTTTCTTTGGAAGGTGTAGATGCTGGGAATACAGGCCCTTTCCAGGACCTCTGTGTCCAGAATTTTGTCCTACCACCAGATACAGAGGAGTCTGCAGAGGTAGCTCAAAGGAAAGTGATTGCTGTTTGGTGTGTCTGCTGTAGACAGTCCAGGTCACACTGGCATGAAGAAGGGTAGTGAGTAACACTGCACAGTAGGCCTTTAGTTTGGTGGTAAAGTTGAGGCTGTTTTGCTTCCCGACATTCTCTTGGAATCTTCCAAATGCAACGCAGGCCTTGGCGATCCTGCTGTTGACTTTTGGGTCTATGTTTACTGCTCTTGAAAGTATGATTCACCGAGAATCATTTTCTTGTAAAGCTACCCTCGAAAATAACAAAATTAAATTAGATCTGATAAATGGATGAATGTAAGTAGACCCAATAGCTGCTCTCCTTTGGGTATGGAGGGAGTTATGATGGATAGCATCGAGACGAATACCTTTATTAATAGCAACTCCAGTTCTCAGAAAATCACAATGACAAAAAAGACAGCTGATCATAATTCCATATAAGACATTCCAGCGGGTGCATTGGCAGCCGAGAATAGAAGTGACATGGTCAGATCAAGAAGGTTAAGAGAACTGGATCCTGGATAGCAGCCGTATTAGTTGTCGAGATATAAGTCTCGCCCTAACCATATACAGTACTCAGACCCTGATAAAGCACTCTGGAAAATGCAAAAGACTTGGTGTAAATCTTTATATAAAATTCACAAACATGTAAGTGTGGGGTTTTCATCCTAAATAATAGAAGCACTGGGTAGAGTAAGTAATGTGTATAGCATATCAGAAGATATTTGACTGTGTCAGGCGGCGTCAGCAACTGACTAGAATATGGCTCTATGATGTGCTTAAATTAAGAGATTACACACAGCAGAACTACTTAGTGGCTCGTAATGGTGCATGAAAACATATAGTTATATATAAAATTTATTTAGAGTGTAATAACAACAATGTTTTATTGTTCAAAGAATATAATATGGTGCACATATTAGTGACACGAATAACATCATAATACAATATTTAAAAATCTAAGGAGGCAGCTTTCAGGTCCATACACACTGCATATATGAAGCCATTACTTGAGTATGTATCCCCAGCATGAAACCCACATCTTGAAACACAAAAAGAAACAAAAAATTCAGAGGTTTGCAACTAGATTAGTACCAGAATTGAGAGGGAACAAATCCTTCTCAGGATATGCCCCACAGCTGCAAACTCACCCACCAAACTGTGCTCCCAAAGGAAACCAAAACTCGGGTGTTGTTTCACCTACGGCCTGCTCATGGTCATTGGACCGGGTGCTCTCTCTTCTCTCTTCTCCTTGGTTTGTTGTGGTCCCTACAGTTCAGGACTGTTTTTCTAAGGCTCTTTTCTTGTTGGCATTGGCCTCTGTGGGTCAGGTTGGGGAGCTTTATGCTCTCCTCCGGTGCGGGGGTTTCTACTCTTTCAGTCCTGGTGATTGTTTTGTTCGGTTGCAGCCGTTTTCCCCCTTTTCTGGCAAAGAATGAGACTGCTGTTTTCCAGAAGGGTTTTTGGGTTGTTGATGCTTGGTTGGTCCGGCTGGGGATGCATCATGTTTTGTGTCCGGTTGCGGCTCTTCGCCGTTACTTGCGCACCATGGCCTCTGTGGCAGGGGACGCGTGCTTTGGGTTAACCCGGGTTTCCCTTCTTCCCTGTTCCAGGCTGCGGGTCTTCCAGGTTGTCCGCAGGATTATTCGGTCCGCCAGCCTGTGGTCTATCCCCGTGCCCACAACGTTCATAAGTTCACGGCTTTGGCTGCTGTTTTTGTAATATATCCTAGGCTGACATTCAGGCATGGGTTTTTTGAAGGTTGAACAGGTTTCTGGCCGCATGGTACCGTGTTAATTTTCCTAGATCTTCTCAGGCTTATGTAACCTTGGGTCGCAGGTTGCAGACCGTTGTCTCAACTTCGAGTTGAGGAGCGAGTGGTGCCTGCCTCCTGGGTAAGCCCCTCTTTTCCTTTATTTTTGGTTAGGTAGCTCCGGGAAGCCAATGGGGCTTTCCACAGAAAACCAGCGTTGGATGTAATGAAACGCCATTTTCTGGGTGAGACCCAAAGGCTCTTCGGCATCCCTCCCTCTGGTCGGCGAATTTTTGCTTTTTTGATATCCAGTCTCTGAACTGGGGTTGGGTAACCGGCACAGGTCTGGGGAGGGAGGGGGGAAGGGGGGAGCTGTGCAAACAACGGCGAGGTGGCTGTGGTGACATTATGCTTGTTTGCTTGTTTTCTGATGGGGGAGTTCTGCCTGCTCGTTTGGCTTTCGGTTTGCAATTTTAAAACAGCTGTAGTTTGCTTTGGGATTCCTACCTTTCTGGGTGTCTGACCTGGTAGATGGCTGACATAGACTGCTTCCAACTACATGGAGGGGTATCTATAGGCCATTGCTCCTTGTGCCTCTCTGAGAGGGCAAGATTCTGGCTCGTGGTCCCCGGTAGGCTAAGAACTCCATCGATTGACTAATATACAAACGTCAACCCGGTATAGCTCCGGGAAGCTGAGGGGGTTCTCCACAGAAAACAGAGGGGGATATGAGCACTCCATACAAGATCTTGAGGGGGAAAAGACAAAGATGACAAAAGAAGTTACTTAAATTTAAATGAGTTAGGACATAGGGGACATTGGTAAAATCTGGACACACAACCGAGTCATACAGAAATAGGAGCGTTCTCATTCCTTGTTCAGGTTACCAGCAAGAGAAATGAACTGGAGAATGAGGTTGTTGAATTCAATTCCATCTACAACTTTTAGAGAAAACATAATGAAAATATTGATGTTGAAAGAGGTATATAGCATGTCAGGTTTAAATGGCTGGAAGACAGGGCATAAAGAGCAAGATCTCACTTTCCCGTAGTCATTGACAGGTAAGTGCAATGTTGCATTCTTGTCCTCTAATGCATTGCAGACTTACACATTGTGCATGAAACATTTCAGCATCAGAGCATCCAACAAATAAAATTAATCTAAGTATTACCCAGTAAGTTAAATAAATTATATGCAAGTCTATTAGAAAGAGTCTTGCAAATGTAAATAACACCTGCTTAAAAATATTAACATGGTACTACATTTTGTTACCTTTCTTATATTGTAGAAGTCTCGGTGAGGAACTGCCTTTTGTGCAGCAAGTTCCCTCATTTCATTGAGAAGAACATGCAGCTGGAACTTTGAAGTCAGGTATTGTAGACGTCGATAGCAAAATGATTTCACAGGGCCATTTGCAATGAGAGCACATAGCAAATTCATATCTTGTATGTAGCGCAGCAGATCTGGGTAGTTATAAGGTAAAGGCTCATTCTGTTGTTCAGCCTCCTCATTAGGATATACCTATTAGAAAAAGGGCCAGAGTTAAATTCAACCAACAATTACAATAGAATTGACCCCCAGGTATATTAAGCCTTGCAACCCACAAATGTTAATATCACATAGGTTTACAGTTCATGGGTTTAATAAGAGAAATTTAATGTAATGAAATTACTTTTCTAGTAGTATCTTTAAGCTTACGAGTCATCTCAGGCTTTAAAGACCAATGTTGACCTACCAGAAGCCAGGATCAGAATCTCTCTGAGATGAAGGGACCTTGGGATCAAAGATCTATTCAAAACAGGAAAATTGACAAGAAAGCTAGATGAAACAAAACAAAGCATTGCTTGAAAGAAAAAAAGAAATGAAAAAGATGAAAAAAGATGAAAACAAAGAAATAATAGTTTTCTGTGTATGAACAACTTGAGCCTTAAATCACTCAAAAGACCTGGTCCACCCCCTTCCCCCCCCCCCCCCCAACCCTAAATTTTCATAGGAAATGCTCAGGAAGACAATGTGGGGGGAAACAGGAAGCTACAGAGAGCATACCAGAATTGGTAGTTTCATTACATTTAATTCTTGATTTCTGGGATTTCTGCTTCCTGGAGCTTATTCACTTACTGAAAAGGACCCAGAAAAGCAAGATCTGTGGAAGAGGACAGCAGCAAAGCAGGACTCTGGGTAGAGCAGCAGTGGTTTGCCAGACACCAAAGCACCTCAAGTGCAGGAAGGCTATAGAACATCCAATAAAAGGTTAAAGACCAATATCCTGTTAGACACTAAATGCCTCAACAACTCTAGCCAGCAGCTATGGATAAAGAATTTAAAAATGCCGACAGTAATGACCTGCCTGCATCGTAAAAACTCAGAAAGACAGCAATAATGTTAAATTGAACAAACCCAGCCGAGGCATGAACTAAAAGACAGAGCAAAACAAAACAGCAGAGGAAGGAAACCTAGCAACACGAGAAGTGTGCAAAGGTCAGCTGCCAGTGGCAGCCATAGTGTAGCAGAAATCCTGAATAAAATCAGGAAAGGAGGGCATACAGTACATAACCCCAGGCACACAGACCGAGAACAGCAGGGCGCATGGCCCTGGAACAGCAGGGCACACGGCCCTGGAACAGCAGGGCGCACGGCCTCGGAACACCAGGGCGCACGGCCCCAAAACAGCAGGACGCACAGTCCCAAAACAGCAGGACGCACAGCCCCAAAACAGCAGGACGCACGGTCCCCAAAACAGCAGGGCGCACGACCCCGGAACAGCAGGGCACACGGCCCTGGAACAGCAGGGCGCACGGCCCCGGAACAGCAGGGTGCACGGCCCTGGAACAGCAGAGCCTACAACCCTGGAACAGCAGGACAAACAGCCCAGGAATAGCAGGGCATGCAGCCCTAGAACAGCAAGCCTCACAGCCCAGAACCTCACATGCACAGCACCGTTACCACCAGGTCAAAGCACAGCAGGGTAGAGCCGCACAGGATAAAAATTGTGGACATCTAAAGAAAGTAACCTACACATGGTCACATCATTTCTACCATTGTGTTGGCCTGGTTAATGCATACTAGTGCTCTAAATTATTTTGTGTTTGTAAACGTAACCAGATGGCGAGCCACTACCTCCCAAAGATAATTGATGATTCACTAGGATCTATGGATTACAATATGAACCATATAGGAACACTCACACCCAGAATTTTGGCAAAAATAAATTACACCACATCACCAATCAAACCTGAATAGCTCTAGTACTAACTGTATAAATTATCTTACTGGGTCTCACAATGCTTACCTTATACATCTGGACCATTCAGATCAGAAGTCAACTGTTCAGTACAGTGTATACAATATTAGATATCATTCACTCTACCACACTTCCTACTTTCACAGAGCGACAAGACAGTCATCAGGAAAGGACAGAGCACTTTAGGAAATGAGAGTTAAGAAATAATGACTGCTTAAGACTTTGAAAGAATTTCCCTAAATTACTTTATATTTAATCCTAAATTGGTCGAGATATTGCTGCTAATATTTGCCTAGAATTGTGGTACAATTTGTTTACTTGCTGATAATACTGAATGACTGCATTATTGTCATGACAAGCGATTTTACTATCTTTATGCACTCTATATTTATATTATAGTTTAGTTACTTGCAGCATTTTTTCAATACATTTATTGATCATGTCCTACTACACATTTTCCATTTTTTTGCCAAGTGTGACCCCCTACATGACAGTGGGAAATAAGGTAATTATATTGACTATATACTGTATCAGTCTATAATAGCAATAACAATTTAGAAAATAAAAGGAGAAATGCTAGACAAAATAATTGATAAAAGCTTAATTCACACCAGGATACAGATGTTACTGTACCTGGAAAACACCATCAAGCATATGGAACTTGTATCCACAATCTTCAGGGACATCAATCTTCCAAGGGCTGACTTCCTTACGTGGCGGATCAATAGGGTGGTCTATAAAGAAAATAGGTATAGCATAATTTTGTATTGAGGAAATTCAACGAAATCAAAACACACATAAGGCTATATTTACAAGAACATAATGAAGCACTTCAAACAGAATTTAATTTTATAGCATAAATAATGTAAGCTATCATCCAAAAATCCAGCGCTGAATTTGTTGAAATGCCTGTCTGGTTGCCCCCCACACTAGCACCCTGAGCTAGCCAGGGAAAAGATAATATTCAGAGGTTGAAAATGGGAACCTGATTCACAGAAAATGAAAAGGAAATGCGTGAAACATTAAACAAACAATTCCAACATGTGTTTGTGCAAAATGAAATCTTCAGAGAACCAGACACAATAAGAATTCTAGAGAACATAGAACACATAGAGGTGTCTAGAGACGAAATGGAAAAAATGCTCAAAGAGCTAAGTAAGAACAAAGCAGTTGGTCTAGATGGAGTTTCACCATGGGGTTCTGAGAGAATGCACATCTGAGCTCAGCATTTCATTTCAACTGATTTTTCAGGCTTTTCTGTGTACAGGAGTCATAGCAAATATGTGGAAAAAGGCTAACTACAATCTACAAAAGTGGGTGCAGGGAAGGCCCCCTTTAATTATAGACCTATATCATTGACAAGTGTAAGTCAAAGTATTGGATAAATAATTAAAACTAACTGGGTAGAACACATGGAGAAAAACTATACACAGCAATAACAGACAGACAGTATAGTTTTCGATCTCGTAGATCCTGTGTAACAGATTTACTTAGTGTCTATGAAAGAGTCGGAGATTTTACAGGAAAGAGATGGTTGGGTTAACTGCATCTATCTTGATCTAAAAAGGGTTTTTGACAGGGTTCCACTTAAGAAATTGTTCCGGAAACTGGAACATACATGAGGAGGGGGGTGGGGGTTAAGCTTCTAACATGGATGAATTATTTTCCGACAGATAAATTAAGGCAGTAATCAGAAGCAATGTACCAAACTGGAGAAATGTCATGAGTGGAGTACCACAGGGTTAATTTCTTGCACCGGTAATGTTCATTGTCTATATAAACGACCTACCAGAAGGAATAAAGAATTATATGAACATGTTTGCTGCTGATACTAGGAAAGATAAACTTAGATGATTGTCTTGCCCTTCAAGATGACCTGGACAAAATAAGTGTATGGAGCACCACTTAGGAAATGGAACTTAATGAATCATGTTATGGAATGTGGAACAAAGGAAAAATAGATTACACACAACCTACAAATTATGTGGAAAAGCTTTAACAAAATTCTGATTAATTTAACACTTTCGCGCTCCGTGGAAACTCGCGGTTGACAGGGGGATAGTGGCCCCTCCGTGCGGGTAAGCGCGCGGTGACACCCAAATGTGTATACTCATTCCAGCTTTCTCACCTTAATTCTCGTGCTACGTCGCTCGTTTTGGTATCATTGTGTTCGCAATTAAATTCTCTACAGGTGTGTATAAATATAATGTCCAAAAGCCTAGCGTGACTCCCAACAGCAAAGCGTAAAGTCGGCAAAAACGCACAAAATCAGTAACATGTGCATTCTCGTTCCATTTTTTTACCTTAATTCTCGTGCTACGTTGCTCGTTTTGGTATCATTGTGTTCGCAATTAAATTCCCTACAGATGTGTATGAATAAAATGTACAAAAGGCTGGAGTGCCTCCCCGCAGAAAAGCCTGAAGTTACCCGTGAACGAGCACCATTTTGTACATTGCAACCTAATGTTCAACTCGTTCAATTTGATAACATCAAATTTCGTGCTATGTCGCTCGTTTTGGTATCAAATTGTTCGCAATAAAAAGGCGATTATTTTAAAACTAGTCCCAGAATAATAGAGCAATAACTGGATTTTTAACAAATATTATAATTCTGGACGCTCATCATCACAAATTTATTTATACCTTTCCAGTGTTCTGACATAAATATTTGTGTTACATCTTTCATTTTGGTATCAAATTGTTCGCAATAAAAAGGCGCACATTTTAAAACTAGTCCCAAGATAATAGGATAATAAATAGAATTTTAACATATATTTTAATATTCGGACCATAGGCCTATTTATAATATTTCAAGTGTTTGGACATCAAGTTTCATGTTATATCTTTGATTTTGGTATCAAATTGTGTGCAATCTAAAGGCGCTTATTTTAAAACCACTACCAGATTGATCTGATAAAATTTAAATTTTTAAAAAATGTTTTAATGAGTGACTCAGTATTGCGTCGTTGGAACACATTCAGTAGAAAAATGAGTGACGAGCTATTCAGTCTGTGGAACGCGAAAGTGTTAAGAAAGAGATCTAGGGATGGTTCTAGATAGAAAATAATGTACAAGAATGTAACAACTCTTGTATATATCTCAAAAAAAAAAAAAAAAAAAAAAAAAAAAAAAAAAATATATATATATATATATCACCCGAGGACCATATAAAGAACATTGTGTGAGGAGCCTATGCAATGCTTTCCAATTTCAAAATTGCTTTTTATAAATACATGGATGGTGAAATACTAAGGAAATTGTTCACAACCTTTATGAGACCAAAGCTGGAATATGCAGCAAATGAATGGTGCCCATATCTTAAGAAGCACAGCAACAAACAGGAAAATCTGCAAAGACATGCAACTAAATGGCTCCTGGAACTGAAAGACAAGAGCTACGAGAAGTTAGAAGCATTAAATATGCAAGAAGTAGAAGATAGAAGAAAAAGAGGAGATATAAGCATTAAGTACAAAATAGTAATGGGAATTGACAAAGCTGATAGGGAAGAACTGGAACTTCTAGAACAAGAGGTCAAAGATTTAAACTACTGTATCTAAACAAAGCTGCCGAAGAAATATTAGAACGTTTTCTTTTGCAAACAGAGTGGTACACAGTTGGAACAGGTTAAGTGAGGTGGTGGTGGAAGCCAAAACCATCAGTAGTTTCACAGCAATATGTGACAGAGTGCTGGGAAGACAGGACACCATGAGCATAGCTCTCATCCTGTAACTACACTTAGGTAATTACACACACACAATCAATCCCAAAAACAAACTAGCTACCGCTCATTCCAGCCACCAGGACATGCAGAGAAGCCAAAGCCCCATATAGTTCATTCAAAAAGTTCATACCATAGTACAAAATTTCCTTTGCAAGGTAAAAAGGGCTGCTTACACAAATTAAGTACTGTACTACAGTATATACAAGAATGTTAGATCTAACCTTCAAGACTTTTGGGATCACTGCAAGCACCAGCATAGCGTAGACCTTGACCCATTGGGTCTTCAATGCCAGCCTGGCGTAAATAACTAGCAGTCACATTGGGGAAGCTCTGAACTGCCCATGCCATGTACCTGCAAGTAATGGATTTCAAGTTATAAATACAAATTAAAAAACCAGCGTTAAATATAATGAAACGCCATTTTATGGGTGAGACCCGGAGGCTCCCCGGAGCTTACTAGGCTGATATATTAATGTCAGACTTTGGAATCAGTCATGTGTATGGAGTTCTGTAGGCTTACCAGGAACTATGAGCCAGAACCTGGTCCCCTCAGAGAGGCATGGGGAGCAATGGCCTATAAATACCCCTGTGTGGTTGGAAGCATGCTATGTCTGCTTTCTGAGTGCTTGACCCGGTGGATGGCAGACATAGAATGCTTCCAACCACACGGAGGTTTCTATAGGCCATTGCTCCCCATGCCTCTCTGAGGGGGCCAGGTTCTGGCTCATGGGCCCCAGTAGGCCCATAGAACTCCATACACACGACTGATGCCAAAGTCTGACATTAGCATATCAGCCTAGTAAGCTCTGGGGAACCTCCAGGTCTCACCCAAAAATAACCATAAAGAAAAACATGGAAGTTTGAGTGGAAAATGATTTAATTAAGCAATTTACTAGGAGAGTGAGAAATTACTTGGAAATATTGTCATCTGATTGATTTACAGTACAGTATCTGTAATTGGTTACATATTCTCCCAACCCACCCCAACTGCAGCTACCACAGAAAAACCATTCCATCAACTGTACCTAAAGATGACCGATCTTGTTTTATACCTCTAAAGTCTTATAAGGTCTATATAACCCCCTAAGGTCTTATAAGGTCCCCCTTATAAGGTCTACCCTTAAAGTCTAAAGTTTTATAAAGTCATTTTGAGTCCTGTCCCTTGGGTAATTCTCCCACTGTACTTAACATGTTCTTACAAGCCTACCATTAGTCATTTTTTTCAACTGTTCAAACAACCGCAAAGTATTTTCCTTGGCTGACTATATTAGACTACACCCCTCACTCACCTGAAGGAACCAGGTATAATAATACAGTAATTCACTGTGATGGGGGACAGGCAGCCAGAGTGCATTCATACACATTAGGCTTATATCGAAGTTCTCCCCCCAAGGTCAAATTACCGACCCCACCCAGAATGCAACCCCCCAACAAGCTGACTAACTCCTGACTAATCTACTTACTACTAGGTGAACAGGCCCATTAGGTGATAGGAAATGAGCCCAATTATTTCTGTCCTGCCCAGGATTTCAATTCGGAATTTTCAATTCAGAGTTGAGAACAAGCACGACTTTATTACCGGAACACTCTTTCTGTACTTCCCATTAAAAGTCACGAGGAAACAGAAAATGCAGGATGGGATGTAGATTATATATGCATAATAGACCATATACAGTGGAACCTTGGGTTTTGAATGCCTCTCTTTTCAAATTTTTCGGTTCTCGAGCTCAATTTCTTTAAAAAATTGGACTCCGCATTCGAGGTTTGCCTCTGTGCTCGAGTTTGTTGATACATGTTATATGGGGTCATGGGGTCTGGTAGCTGAGCGGACACTGCGCAGGACTCGTAATTCTGTGGCCCGGGTTCGATTCCCGGACCAGGCAGAAACAAATGGGCAAAGTTTCTTTCACCCTGATGCCCCTGTTACCTAGCAGTAAATAGGTACCTGGGAGTTAGACAGCTGGTACAGAGCTGCTTCCTGGGTGTGTGTGAAATTACCTAAGTGTAATTACCTAAGTGTATTTACAGGATGAGAGCTACGCTCATGGGAAGGATAAGATAAAAGATAAGATGATTGTCATGCCCTTCAAGAAGACCTGGTCAAAATAAGTATATGGAGCACCACTTGGCAAATGCAATTTAATGTGAATAAATGCCATGTTTTGGAATGTGGAATAGGTGAACACAGACCCCACACAACCTATAAATTATGTGAGAAATCTTTAAAGAATTCTGATAAAGAAAGAGATCTAGGAGTGGTTCTAGATAGAAAACTATCTCCTGAGGACCACATAAAGAAAGTTGTGCGAGGAGCCTATGCCATGCTTTCTAATTTCAGAATTGCTTTTTAATACATGGATAGCGAAATACTAAAGAAATTGTTCACGACTTTTGTCAGGCCAAAGCTAGAATATGCAGTGGTTGTGTGGGGTGCCCACATCTTAAGAAGCACATCAACAAACTTGAAAAGGTGCAAAGACATGCTACTAAGTGGCTCCCAGAACTGAAGGGCAAGAGCTACGAGGAGAGGATAGAGCCATTAAATATGCCAAAACTAGAAGACAGAAGAAAAAGAGGCGATATGATCACTACGTACAAAATAGTATCAGGAATTGATAAAATCAACAAGGAAGATTTCCTGAGCCCTGGAACTTCAAGAACAAGAGGTCATAGACTTAAACTCACGAAATCACTGAGATTTAAACTAATTAAACAAAAATGCCAAAGAAATATAAGAAAATTCACTTTCGCAAAGAGAGTGGTAGACGGTTGGAACAAGTTAAGCGAGAAGGTGGTGGAGGCCAAAACCGTCAGTAGTTTCAAAGTATTATATGGCAAAGAGTCAAACAGATACAGTCTGTCTGGGTAGACGGGACACCACGAGCGTAGCTCTCATCCTGTAACTACACTTAGGTAATTACTTCTTTCAGAAAACAATCTACTTTTCTGTTGAAGATGTCCACAGGTTGTTCCCTGTAACTCTCATCCTGTAACTACACTTAGGTAATTACTTCTTTCAGAAAACAATCTACTTTTCTGTTGAAGATGTCCACAGGTTGTTCCCGCAATATTTCTTATGCTTGCACCAGGTGCAAAAGTGATCTAGTGACTCCAAGCAGATCCCAAGCTCCCAGAGCCGCCCTGGCAGTGGGGTTATGTCACTAGTGGTGGTAATGACCAAACTTCTGTGTTCCTAGTTGTCAGGGTTGCTAATATTTTCTCTGCAATTGTTTGATTTGATGCATTCTACCTTTTTGGTAGCTTTTCTACTCATTATCCCCTGCTTCCTGTGGCTCCTCAAGTGGACCACATTTTGGCCTCTGGCATGCGGTAGGCTGTTAAATGACTTACAAGGGCTCTCATGTGATAAAACGTGAAGAGCTATCCAGTAAGGAGGGGGGGGACTCTTTCCAGAAATTTAGTGTTTAGTCACATCATCATTAGTGAGTGTACAAGTCTGTAAACTATATTTAAGGCAAGGATAGGGTAATAATACTCTTCTGTCATCATTTTCACTTCATATAATACTGATATTGTACTTACTTCTCACGTAGCCTAAGTGCCTCAATGAGGAGTTTTGATGACTTCGAGATATCTTCAACTGGCATCTGAAAAAATATAATTTTATAATGGTAAAATGAACAAAAAGTAATATGTAATTTTAATACGTAAAGGAGCAAAAACCTTTTCTATGTATACTTTACGTCAAAGAGACCATCAAGTACTACTCAATTACTACAAAATGCCAATCAGTTAATTGACAGCTTGACTGCCATTGCAGGTGTGTAAACAGAAGCAGCTAGCAATCATAACTTACTTTCTGCCTAGGTTTCCTCAGCGCTACTCCTATTGGTCGATCAGAGACCTCAACACAAGAGTAGATTTATCTAAAGACATTTGTGTTTTTTGTACTGTGGACCTATGCTGTAGTGATTGTCACATTGGTGTGTTTTCTCTGTGTCTCTCTCGAGCTTTACTATACCTGTGTAGGCACACAATATCCTATACCATGCCAGCATGGTAGAGGATTCTGGGTTCTGATCCAAAGGAGTTGAAAATGAATAGCTGTCTAGGACAATTGGGAGTAAATTGCTGGCTAGAAAATGTTCCAAATCAAGTGCAATATTATTGTTTCACGGGGGATTCAAATAATTTCACAGGGTAGACATATTAGACAAGGAGGAGAATATCAATATACACCCCGTCCTCCAAAAATGGGGAGGTAAATGTAACAGCCCCATAAGTGCAATTATGTACTATGTATGACAGTTAGGAATTGCATTTATTTACACTTAGTATTAAATCGTACTGTCAAATATAGTGAATATTTAAGCTGAAAAGCTGAATAGAAAACCACGACCTCACCTAACCAACTTAGTTTTTGAAGATAAGCATTTTATTGCTTCTTAATTAATTACAATTACTACTTAACCTATAGCTATATTGATATTACAGTTTTATAAAACAAACAAATAAAACCAAACAAAACTAAAATATATCAACAAATTGTAAAGTAAATTTTTTCAAATTTTTTATAAAATCTCTTTTGTTTAAAAAAACTGAAAAATAAATTCCTGATACAGTATTTAAAACTTGTGTATAACAAACTGAACTTTAAAACTTCATCCTAAAATTCTGAGTGTCTTAATAGAAAACGAGGAGAATAAATAGGGAGGTAAATGTAATAGTCCCATAAGTGCAATTATGTACTAAGTATGACAGTCAGAAAATGTACTTATTACACTTAGTATTAAAACGTACTGTCAATTCGATTGGTTGCAATATATGTACAGGAATTTTTTTATTGTAATGTCAAAGAATGAATTGAAATTAAGCCCCACACACACAAACTATTTGGTCAGAATTTAATGAAAACAAAAATAATCTAATAATAGATGTTACACACAGGCCACTAAACTTTGCTGGAATGGAAGCAAAGCATATATGGGATAAATACATACATGGGATAAATGGGATTCACTGAAAGTTGCCCAACTGGTAGGAACAGCAGTTAAAAAACCAGCGTTGAATGTAATGAAACACCATTTTCTGGGTGAGCCCCGGAGGCTCCCTGGAGCTATTGGACTGATATTAGCTTATATTAGTCTAGGGCTTCAGGTAATGGAGTTCTGCCTACCCTTGTAGGCAGTTCTGCCAGAGACCATGAGCCAGAACCTGGCCCCAATCAAAGAAGTGCAGGGAGCAATGTCCTAAGGAAACCCCCCCTGTATTTGGGAGTATTCCATGTCTGCCATTGACCGGGGTTAGGCACCCAGAAATATAGGCGTCCCAAAACAAACCCCACTTGGTAGGAAATTGCAAACCCAAGACTGAACAGAGAAACAGAACTCCCCCAAAAGAAAACAAGAAAACAAGCAAATGTCTGAGGCTCCCCCCTCCCCCTCCTGAGGTGGGAGGGAAGCCTCAGACCCATGCGCCGGCTGCGCAGTCTTCAGTTCGGAGACTGAGCATTAAAAATGAAACCGCCGACCAGAGGGAGCCAGGGAAACCTCCAGGGCTCACCAAGAAAATGGCTTCTCATTTCATTTAATGCTGGTTTTCTGTGGAGACCCCCTTCAGCTCCCTGGAGCTACATAACCAAAGATATGTCAAAGAGGGACTTACCTGGGAGATGGCTGCCCCGTGTACCTCAACTCGAAGATGAGACAACTGGCTGTGCCTTTGGATGGGGCCCAAGGCCAGACAAGAATGACTTGGACCCAGAATATTCACTGAATAACGGGTGGCCAGGATCCTGTTCGACCTTCAAGACCCCAGTGCCTGAATGTCAGACCAGGACATGTTCCCAAATACAGCAGCCAAGAAAGGAAACTTACAAACATCATGGCACTAGGGTAGACCACAGGCTGGCTAGACTTAAGAACCTTGCAGACAACCTGAGACACTAGTCATGGAACAGGGAATGAGGAAAATCGAATCAACCCAAAGCGCATTCATGGTCACAGAAGCTGAGGCTCGCAGGTAGTGGCCCCAGAAGCCGAGACACACAGGTCACGAGAGAGAGAGAGAGAGAGAGCAAATGGTGAAAAGAACGTTAAGAGACTCCATACTGTCGCCGAGATGAAGACTGCAGATGGGACACCCTCAACGAAGCCACCTGATCACCATACAAGTGGTGATACACACACGTCAAGAAGACCAGATGCGAAGAGCGAAGGAGTAGATCAAACCAGTCAGGTATAAGACCGGCCCAATCTGCAGGAAGAGGCAGAGCCACAGAAAACGCTCCGAGTTTGGACACCGAGCAAGCAGCAACTAAAACCAAGAATGGGCCGGCCACAAGGATGACACTCCGGCAATAAGACTCCAATCGAGCCAGAATCCAAAGTAACAGCATGGCCAGGGGGAAGAGGTACAGGTAACCCCACCTTGATCTATCCTGCAAAAAAGCATCCACTGCAATCGCTCCGCAGTCGGGGAAGGGCTCCACATATATCGGGAGACGCCGGACCACGCCGATGTGAAGAGGTTGTCCGCTAGAATGTTGGACACTCCTGGGATGTCCAACATTCTGAAGGAGAGCTGAACCCCGAGAAACCAGCAGACAAGTCACTCAAAGCGACCGGCCCCAAAAAGCCAAGGACCGAAGAGAAACAATGAATCACTGGGGCGCAGCCCAAATGGAGCCTGATCATTGTACAGTACTGTATTGCAAAATATTTCGTGTATCAATCAATGATTGATAATATTTTCTAAATAAAATTTTAGAAATGTGTTTTGTTTTACCCTGTACAGTACAGGTAATGTATTTTTAATGTTACGACACAGGCTGTGGCGGCCAGGCCATATAATGGTGATCGAGCCTTGTCATTGAGAGCTAGCCAAGACGAAATCTTGTAAGTTCACATTTTCTCTGCTAATGATAGAATATACATTTGCTTTTACTAATATGTAGCTATTGTTGAAAAAAAATTAATAATAATAATTAATAATAATTGTTGTAATACTGTAATAAAATTGGTAAATTGACTTACCTATTTATGAAGCTGAAGATTACGTCATCCTCTGCAGCGCTTGTTTTGTATTAATCAGTATATATACAGTATGTACACTTATTTTCAGGCTTTCACTTCACACAACAGCTAGGCCTACTACTAATTCACATGAGAGTAACACACTGCACTTTAATAAAAAAAAAGTTGACCAAGAGCTGTAATGCACTCGTACAATTGAAACTTATTTCTATACTGTATTTACACTGTGTACAGTATATCTTTTTGTCAAGGCTTAATTATTCATTAACACTTATAACACTGTACTCTATCAACATTTTTTACACTAATTTATATGCATTTCAATCATATTTTATATTATCGTTAGCAGATGCTGCACGACTTGGCGATGGGAGTTCAGCATCGACGGGTGCAGCATGGCTTGTAGAGCATCCCTTGCCGGCAGATGTTACACGACTTGTCGATGGGAATTCAGCATCGGAGAATGCAGCATAGCTTGTAGATCATACATTGCCGGCGGATGCTGTACGACTTGTCGATGGGAATTCAGCATTGGTAGGTGCAGTATGGCTTGTAGGGCACTCGTTGCCGGCGGATGCTGCACAACTTATTGAATTCCCAGCAGGTGTAGACGAAGATTTTTCACAAACCATAGAAATCATGAATTTATCCATTTTTGTCTGAATCTAATATTCTCTGCTAACATTCTAATATATGCCAAATATCCCCAGTTTGCTAACTGTAGGTAGTAATTAAGTGATTGTAACCTATCCACCGCTGCCCACTGGATGGGGGGCGGTGTGCAGGACAAACATATCAATTGTGACACTAGCTCTCCACATATGTCAGCTGCTTAATTTAGAAACTGTACTTGTGGTCGATCTCGAACCCACTGTTGATATGACGATTTATATTGAATTTTGTGGCTAGCTCATCAAGATTGTAACTTACTTAGCTAAATGAATTGTGGGGTTCAGTCCCTGAGCCCATTATGTGCCTCTGTAACCCTTTCCACTACCGCCCACAAGATGGGTATGGGGTGCATAATAAATGAACTAAACTAACGTTCTAAGACATTGCTTAAAAGCTGAAAAGTGTATATAAATTTTCCAACAACTTCATGTTTACTTCTTCTTGAATATTCAATGAGGTCCTCAATTTGTTGCAATCTTTTCTGATATCCGACACCTCTAGGCAGAGCTTCACCAACATCATCCGAGTCATCAGAGTCATTTCTGAGAACACTTTGAGCAAACTGTTCTTCAGTTAACAATTCATAACCAGGATTGTAATCATTTTCTAACTATTCATTGATATCACTTGTACACCCTGACCAGTCTGGAGCAACATTGTTCAGATCGTTTCTTCAAACACCACAAAATCATTGGCTACATTTTCAAAACCTTCGAATTCACTATCAGATATTGCTGCTTCACCTCTAGGCCTCTCTGTTAACAGTTTCTTCCATGAATTTGTTAGTGTGGTTTCCTTTACTTTATTCCAAAGCTTAGCCCAGTGGAATATTGCTTCCCTAATTGTGTACGTTTTTAACTTTTCTAATGTTCTTTGAGCCCTTGTATCCTTCCTGTCAATTCATCTTCCTTCCTAGGTAAAACAACTAAAACATCTTCAAG